ATATATATATATATATATATATATATATATATATATATATATATATATATATATATATATATATATATATATGATATGTGGTAGAGATTTATTGATATTGTTATGATATTTCTTAGTCAATGAATTCTATATATAATTAAATTGATATAAGATGTAGTATAGGGGGCGGGGGAGAAGGGATTAATTAGGCATCCGTGTACTGGCTCTGCAGGCCTTAATCAATCTTAATTATAACAATTATATATATATAGTCACCTATCTATCTATATATATATATATATATATATATATATATATATATATATATAATTGTAATAGAAGAAAGACTTGAATGTGGCCCCCTTTCATGCTTTTCAACACTTGATTATTTAAATTTTCATACATCCTCCCTTGATCATAATTCTTAGTCAATTGAAACCGAATCAACTTTTAAAGAAATTAACGGGAAGGAAAACATTTTTTTTTTTAAACAAGTCTTGGCCCATCATTTTCACTGGGCATAGATTGATTTTATGATTAATTAGGTAAATTGATGTAGTGATGGGGTGACACATAAATAAAAGTGGAATATCCCAAGAATCTGGCACATCCAAATTTACTATAATTATTGTGACAAGTTTGCATTGGTGTGCATGAATATAATGAAAAAACTGTCAAAATTGCATTAATGGAATATAATTTATGTGACTATATACATATTTGATCGATTTAATTCGTTTTCGTTGGCTCTTCCACTCTTTTAGGGGACGCATTAAACTTATAACTTATAATTAAGCTCTAGTTGAGGACATTAATTAATTCTTATATATATATATACACACACACACACACACACACACATTGGTTGTACGTACGTACTTGTAATGATGAGAATTATTCCTTCATCTTCTTCTCAGCTGCCTTATTGCTAATTAGTGCTAACCCAACATCATCGATATCAAATTAAATTGTAGTAGTTGTGTTTTTTGTGATCCATTAAACATTAATAATAATAATTATAATTATTAGGCAGATTCATGAACCAGCCAAATTAAATACATCCATACCTAATAGTACTGTACAATGTACATATACCTAATTTATCTCTATACATTCATGTCCAGATCTCTGTGTTTGTACACGTACTGTGAGTTAAATGTATTGTTACTTCATATTTGATTAAAATATGAATGACTAAAGTTCCATAATTCATAATTAACCCCTTTTCAGCCATTAATAATTACCAAGGAAGTTAGGCCGGCCGGGCAACCCACTAAACAAAATTCAAGTCAAAGTATTAATTAATTGGGCTTCACCATTACTTTCTTGCTTACTAGGCCCAATAGATATATCTTCCGTACGTGTCAAATCTCAGCCGAACGGGCTGGTTACTTACGTCCGATTCCATAGTTCCGATCGGCTTTCCTATTTTTTTCAGACCAGATATATGGTTAACCGAAAATAATCTATATATTTTCCCATTAATTTTCATGTGCAGGTAGTGGATCGTATGTGTGTTGAAGTCTATAAATACAAATCACCACATTATTGCCAGTTTTCATTGCGGATTTTAGAAGAGAAAAGCGAGAGCATTTTGGTGAGAAGAAGAAACTAGACTTGAGTTATTTTTTATATATCTCTTTTGTAAGTATTCATTTTGAGTGTATAGCCTATAAGTTTAGATATGAATTAGTTGGTATTGAAGAAGCTACGATTAATGATTTATGTAAGATACCTTTATATATAGTAGGGGAAAATGGTTTACTTCATTTCTTGGTTATTCTTGTAATATTGTTTATATAAATATTTCGTCTTTGAAGGCATTCCGATCCACAAGTAAGTATTTACTTGTGGATATTAAAGTTTGTGTTTGTTTTATTCCGCTGTATGTTATACTAAATGTTATCTGCACACTTCACGTAACAGTCTGTTTTAATTATATTATTTATTACTAAATTTTGGCCATTAATTAATTCTTTCAAAAAGTGTCTAGGAAAAGTGAAGTAATACCCATTTAATTTATTTAGCAACGTAACATCAAAATGATCCCATGCACGTTTCACCTAACAAAAGCAAAATTGAAACGATTGATTGTAGTACTTTAATTACCATGCATGGATTATATTGATGTCAATTCGTAGACATATAAATGGAAGATAGAAGAGATAAGAGGTAAACAAGTCAATCGAGCTAGCGATCAAGAAAAAAGGAATCAATGGTTTTGCCACTGGTTATCATGATAAATTAATTAGTCGAAAAAGCAAATTAAAGGCATATACATAAGTTTAAGTTGGCCAAAACAAACATTGTCGTCAATCAAACCGTGACTGCGTACGTACATGACAGATTAAAACACAGACATCAAATATGGAACAAGAATACAAGAAAACGCGTTCATTTTTAGAACAATACAAACCTTCAATTTAAATATTAAATTTAAACAATTCTTAATCATGCACGTATATATATATATATAGATAGAAAGAGATATTTCTTCAAGACATAGAGAGAGAGAGAGATGCATTAATTACTCATCAAGCTGCATCACATGCATGATCACTGCACCTGCAACCAAAATAACAATATCCAGAACATTAAATATGCCATATATAAAGTATACAATATAAAATATATTAAAACAATAAAAAAAATCTCCGACAGTGAAAAGTGAATAATGGAGAATGGCAGCAGAGAAATGAAGTTTAAACTAAGCCACTCATATGAAAAGATTAATGTAAAAGTGAAATAAAAAAGATTATTGGAAAATGGACATATGCTTGTATTTGGAAGCATCGTGCATGCATGCGCATTATTAGTGGTACGTAGGTCCCTTTAATTTAACGGTTATTGATTGGACAATAAATAAATAATAATAAATATTAATTCTACACGAATTTCCAAACAGAATATAGTCATACACTTACATACACACATATATATATGAAGACTATAATTATAAGTTGCAAACATTCATATGTATGTCATGCTCTCGAAATAGGAGGCAAATAACTCATAATTCATCAAATTATATATATATATATATATATATACATATCATCTTAATTTAATTAATAATGTAATCCTACTTTTTCCAGAATATTCCTTGCCTTCATATAATTCAATTGAATTTGGACAAACGATTTAGGCTTGATCAAATAAATTTACCCATAATTAATTTAAAAAAAATATATATTTTCAATTAAGAAAAAAAGAAAAAAAGAAAAAAAAAGATTAAGAAATGGCACCTTATTAATTAATTATGAAGAGAGAAGTGAAGCAGATTCAGTGAAGTCGGCGGCAAGTTTAGAGTAGTTAGTGAGGCCACCACCATTAATCTCTGCAGGATGGATCTTTCTCTTCATCATTCTCCTCATCAACTACACATATATAATTCAAACCCCATATTATATATAATAACTCAAATATTATTGTACGTATATAAATAATTATGATAATTATAAGTTGGAGTGAGTTAGTATTAAGCTGTAATACTCGATGCAGTTTGTGAATGGGGCGAGCTTTGTCAAGCTTATAATTGGCAAATGGAAGGTCGATGTTCGACATCATCTTATCGATAACATGATCATCAGCTTCTTTCATGTTGTTAACAATAGTAGCCGCCTGCAGCCTTTTTTTCTTCAGTTCATTAATATTAATATTAATGATATTGTCAAGCTCCGAATCAGCTGAGAACAAATCTGCAAGTGTGGTTCTCTCCTTTTTATTAGTGTGTAAATCGTGTGGCTGGGATTCTTCCATTTTCATTTCCAACAAACCCTCATCACAATAATCGTGGTGATCGTAAACTGCATATAACAATGGCTGCTCTTCTTCTTCGGAATCATGAGTAATAACCACGTCTAACTTGTAATTATTATTCTCAGTGATCATCTGACGACGATCATTTCCCAGCTGCTGCTGCTCTAATTCCTTTTCTGCAAGACGACGACGAGGTTGATCATCTTTTGGCGCGTAAATAAAACTAGCAGCGATGACGTCATCATCATCTAGTTTGAATTCATGATTCTGATCACGGTCGTCTTCCAATAATATTAATGGGTCGTCGTACCCAAAGGTTCCAATGGTTAAAATACCTCCTTTCCAACCACAAAACGTCCCATTCTTGTTTTCATGATCATCCACCACAAAGTTTCCTTCATCATCACCCTCAATCTTCTTCCCGTTTTCTCCCAATCCATCTATGCATGCACATAAGTAATCATTCATATATCATATATTATTATTAGTACTAATTGTTTTGTAATTTGTAAACAATTATATATAAAACGAGATCAATTAATTTAAGAAGAATATATGAGATCGATCAAGAGAGTAGCTAGCTAGTATTAATACCTTTATGAACAAACCGGCGGTGAACCCAGTTGAAGATCTATATATATATATTTATAATAAAGGGAAGGAAACAAAAAAAGAAAGATAGGATTAATCAAAAATGGTATAGTAAAAACTTAAGCCTAATAATAAGAAACAGCATGTGCATGCAAATTAAAGAGTACTAGTACTGCACTTTATTTTATGTTTCCAAGAAATTAAAATATAATAAAAGATGTGCTTGCCTTCATTTTCTTGGGAGGTTTTAATTTGATTGAAGTTGAAATATGTGTGTTGAATGAAAAATCAAAGTGGAGTTAGTTGTAAGAGAAGAAAAGGTGGGAGAGGGGGGCCATATTAACATGGCTTGCCACGTAGGCACCTATTGTCAATTAATTAAGGATAGGCCCCTCTAGTTTTAGGGACATTCCCTTTGGCATCTCTATTTGGATATTTCGATTCATCCCAATTCACATACTCATATCTACCCCCCTACCTAGCTCTCAATGTTCTGTCATATCTCTCTCAAAATATATTAATATATCGTGATCTATATATACAGATATATACACACACACATGGTTTTCGATTAATTCTATTAGGTTATTACAAGAAATTGATATAGACATCTGGTAGTCCGATGAAAGTATACGTAATATGCACCTTAATTGGTCAAGTAACAGTTCACATATATATTTGTATGCATTTTAGTGGTTTAATTTGTTTGATATTTCGAAATAAGTCGAGTTCGCTTGCATTTGAATAGTTTGTATATGTCCAGCACAACTCTTTTCGGACAAAATATAATAGATGAATAAATAATAAAATAAAATAAAAATCAAATTACAAGAAGGAAATTAAAAAATAAACAGTTGATGATGTTGCATGCATGAACAAGTAGTTAATTTAGTTGAATGGGCGGCAACTGCAGTTATTGGTTTTGATTTCCTAATAAGTATGAAAAGTAGACCCCTTTAATCGTATCACCAATAATTAATTTATAATTAGTGATGAAATTTTGTTTATCTGTTTAGCTTTAGGTTCAGTACTGCGTTACTTTTTAATATCCAATATTCAGTCGATCTTTCTAAAAGCTACTTGATTAATTGAGTTTAGCCTTGAATAAAAGAAATCCAAAAATTAAAAGAAAATGCAAAAATAAATAAATAAATGAGATGGAGTATATATATCTAGATTGAGAATTAACAGATGGAGTCCAATATATATGAGTAGGTAGGTTTGTTTTGGATTCTTACACAGCCAATTACTTGCTTTCATGTGTTCATTTGTAATAGGTTATTTTCTTTGATTGGTCTGAAGCCTCCATCATGCTCTTCTTTATAAATTAATAATATCTCAAATTCTAATAAAACCAAATGTTAATGAACAACTATATATATCTGAATGAAAATTCATTAGCTGGCTCCAAAAAGGTAATCAAATATAAATTTGATCTATTATGTAACTAATTAAAATAACAGAATAAGGAGACACAAACAAATAAAAAATGATAGTAATTTGGTTGTTAATTCACATAAATAAAGAGCAATAAGACTCTCTCATCTTTAAAACGTGACATACTATACTAGCTAGTACCCTTTTTACAATCTTGTGTTTCGTTGCAAGGAATTGTACCCTTTTTATTCTCGTTCTCCATGAAATATCAATCATAATAACATAATAACATTAATTGATTAATTAATTGGCATTTGCTGTTGTCCGATCCAATATAAATATAATATATGATTTGCTTGCTTTTTACGTACCCTTTTCTTTCTCCAATATATATTATAAAATTAGAAGTATATATAGAAAGTGGAAATTGAGATAAAAGCGTACAGCTGGAGGGAGTGTGGGGGCGGGGTCAATGTGCCACCAAAAGTGCTGACCATGGTTTATATCAAATCACATCATTCGAAAACTGCTCTACACCTTTTTCCAACTCCTACAAATATCCGTTTATAATTATTATCAACAATATCTTTAGGTTAAATTACAACCACCCCTCATGAGGTATGGTCAAATTACTAAAAAACATCTTATGTTTGGGTAATTACAATCAGCACTTAACTATAATTCGAGATTATATGAAATATTATTACTTTTGTACCCGTTTTATCCCGTTCGAATTCTACATTTTGAAGCAAGATGATCATAATATGTGTTTTTCTCTTGTATATATGAGATTGTGGTGCATTAGAAACTAAATTTTTATACAAAACTAGTACAAATTAGAGCACATTCCACGAAATCAAGATGATTAAATTGTAATTTAGGCATATGTTTATTATTATCTTTATATATAAAAGAAAGGTTTTACCCGAAACCTAAAAAGACAGTTTTTTTTTTTTTAACAAATCCCTTTATTTTCTCCTTTCTTTACTCATCTTCTATGTACGTTTTTTTTATGTAATTATTTTTTATACTTTTCTGCACGATAGGAAAATTTTCCCGTTTCCTCTTTTATCGCATGATGGGAAATTTTTTTATGCACGTTTTTTTTTATATAATTAATTATATTTGTTTTCTGTTTCTCTACTTTGAAATAGTTTTTATTCGTTCTTCTCTTCAGATGTGGTAGTTTTCCCTTAAAAAAAATTGATCCAATTAATATCGCAAAAAAGAAGAATAAAAAATAAATAAAATCAACGTGTAAACCTCCACAGCAAAAACACGATAGTTCTTAACCTCTACACACACGATATGATAACCATCTTTCCAGAAAATCATGCATACGATCGTGTGTGAGAAACTTACAAATTCGGTTTCATTATGTCTATATATAATTAGAATGAGTTTTGGGTCGACTTAATTATCTGGATTTTATTTTCATTAATTTGTTTGGACAATTTTTTTATGGTTTATTATTTTGCAGTATGTATTCAAGAGGCATAAAGTGGCGCTTACGATTTGCACATCTATTGCGTCGCTTGCTACATCATGGGCTGGTATCTATTTTGTTTTACTAATTTTAATTTTTATATATAGATCACATAGTTTAAGTATTGTTCCGAAATGGTGGTTTTCTAGAAGTTTCAATCTTTGTTTCTAACATTTTTAATGTGTTTTAAGGGTTGTGTTTGATTCTTTGAACTACATTATCATAATTGGATGATGAATTTTATGATTAAGAAGATAAAATTTGGTTCGTGTTTTATCAGTAGTATAAATAAATGGTTTTTGAAAATTATTCTAATAAATTTGTCCTTCATATTTCATATATTTTGATTTTTCAGTTCTAATATATTTTCGTTGGAAAAGGTTGTATGCTTCTCTTCTCTTTTTTTTTTTCAAAAAAATAAACTAATTTGTTATGGCTTTAAGGTACATATTTTTGTTGAAATCAAGACTAATAAAACACTATTGCAGCAACTCCACCAAAGAGATGGACCCTAAGTTTTTGAGGAACCACAACAAGAAGAGCGGTTAGTCTGCCAACAAGGAAGAATAGATTTGAACTTACTTATCATGGGTTAAAAGTGGTCACGGAATCACCAATTTTTTTAAGGTAGATGGTTGGGAAATATATTTTCGCCTCTCCTGTCTTTTTAAAAAATCCTACAGTATTGCGAGTTATTCTCAAATTTATTTTATGTACTCTGCCATTCGAATTATATTGCTCTGCATAATCCGAGTTTTGTTCTTTTACAGAGGGTGTCGCGAATTCTTAGGCGCATTTTTTTTTGGGTTTTATCAGATATATTTTATATATTTATGGTAAGTTTTTTCATGTTTACGAGTTTAGATGATTTTTTTTGGAGAAGAATTACAATGTTTTTGTTTAAAGGATTACTATGGAGTTTTATTGTGTTATCTCTCTTGGAAATCTATTCACTAATACCTGAAAATGAAAGCAGGTGTTGCTCGATAATTTTAAATATTGTCCTTATTAACTTCTTATTACTTGCTAGATACTATAGCATATCTACATCACTTATCTCTCGAGTGGTTTTATTTTCCATGATTATTTTATTATTGAGTTGTGAATATTCTTACTAATATTTGTTTTCTATCATAAGTTTCCTCGATGTGGTTTCATACAGTCATTTATTTTTGGTTTTATTTATCTTACACAGTTTTATTTTGTGTTAAGCGCATACGACTCATAAACTATGTTTTGTTACTATGAAAGATTGTGTAAAAGTTTAGACTCTGCTAGATAGTAAGCAGAATTATATTATGATCGATGTCCGAATAACTATTTGCTTATATAACATTTGATGTGTTTTTCTTACTCTGATACGATGATATTAAATTCTTTGGGTTTTACATTATAAATATTTTTCTGATTTTAATTTTCAGACCTGCAACTGAATCAATTTGTTATTTCTACAACTATTGAAAGATTTCGGCTCTGAAAAAAACAATAAAAAGTCTCGCACACAGTAAGATTCGCCCGAACAATACACAACAACTCTTTACTTTGCTAATGTATCGTTACTTTGCTAATTTATTGCCTTTTTTTCCTATTAGTTTAAATGTGTTAACGTTTTGCTAGACAACCCATACAAATTTTGCTTCAAAGAAGCATTTCAAACACTTGAGTCTATGAATCTTGCCGTTCTCCTCAGCTGTCTCTACACCTTTCAAGTTTTCGTGTTTTCACTAATACTCGATTTTCACTACTTTTTCATGTATTACTTTCAGAATTTCTTTATTTCCACAGTTTCTTTACCTTCAAATTTTTGAATTCCTTTATTTTTATTTTTTTCAAACATTCTTTGTTATTCAGTTGTAATTTTTATTTCTCTTACATTTTTTTTTAACTATTTTTATTTTTCTAATTATTAATTTTTCTTGCTCTATTTGTTATTCCCCTTTTTTTTGTCAATGACGTCTTTCTAAAAAAATATATATAACTTTTTATATTTCTACGAAATCGCTAATGACATCTTTGTAACTTTGTTTTCCTCTTTAAAACATATATGACTTTTGACTTAATATTTTCTTCAAATATGCTCATTTTAATGTCATGTGTTGAAGTTATTATTTTTTAGACTTTTGGAATATCACCCGTGCATCGCACGGGGGAGCAATACTAGTTAATATGAAAAATAAAAGGAAATTTAAATATTATTAGGGTTGACGCGAGTGACGATTAAGCAAATAAATGTATTGGGCTGACTGACTGATTGAGTGGGCCTTGATATTATATTTTATTAAAGAGACTTGGATGGGCCGAACTGCACCTTTATCTGGTGGAACTAGGAAGCCTTGTTGCCTAATGTTCTCCGGAAGGAAGTTGTACCTCTACGGACTGCGGATGTTCAACATGCATCGCGCTGGATCAAGATTACCTAATGATCCGCCCGCCGGTGATAAACAGAATAATATATATATATATATATCATTTTGTTTAATTTCTTATAAAAAAAAATACATATGTAGATTAATAATGAGCAACTTGGGGAATACTTTTCATTGTTCATAATGGCTGCTGTATGTAAACTAATGAATTCAATACGGATGGTTGGATGGATAATGATACAACCTCGTGGGTGGCCATGTGTTAAATTCTTCATTAAAATCATTTCCTGCAACAAATAATATAATAATAATGCATTGTCCCATCATATATTAATATTAATCAACCCCATCACTATATACTCTTTTCTTGTTTTTAGGTAGTAATTTATAATAATATACAACACACTTGTTATTAATTATAAGCAAACAGTACAATAGAGAAATCTGAAAAATGCAGATAATTACTAAGATGATGATGATGATGATCCAATATCAGCAAGAACAGGTGGATATCTTCTTCATCTCACTAATTTCAAAATCATCATCAATTTTCAACCCTGTAATAGTACTAGTACTACTACTAGTCATGATTAGATGAGGCTTCACAATATTATTGGTGCTAATGTCCAATAATGCCCTTCTTTTGGACACCACAGTAGTGTGAATTTGGTGAAGCAGATTATAGAAAGCTGTTTCAACATTATCCCCACTCAGCGCAGATGTTTCGAAGAAACACAGCCCTTGCTTCTCCGCAAACTCAACTGCATCCTCTGTTTTCACTGATCTCCTCAATTCCACTACATCCGCTTTGTTACCAACCAGCATTATCACTATCGAATTATCAAATATAAGTTTGGCATCTTGCCACGTGGTACGTCAAATTAAAGCTCTCTCTCTTCGCCTTGATAAGTTTGGAGTTGATGGTGACTGTCCTTGTCTGAAACTCTACTCCGATGGTTGATTTAGAGTCCAGACAGAACTCGTTCTTTGCGAACCTCGACAGAAGCTGTGTCTTTCCCACCGCCGAGTCTCCGATCACCACCACTTTGAACACGTAGCTTATCTTCTCTGCTTCGTTTTCGCCGCCGTTCATTTCTTGCTTCATCTTTTTCTTTCTTTCCAATGGTTCTTCTATATATTTTTTAATTCAGCTTTGTCTGAATTACATTGATTAGGGTTGTGGTTAAATAAGGCAGAAAACCTGGCAACACACACACCTACACAAACTCTCTTTGTTTTAATGCGTTCACTGTGTGCGCGCGTGTCATGCAGATGCAGATGCAGATGCAGATGGAGTTTTCATTTTCACTTGTAATACTATTAACACCATTTCAAAACAAAATTTACGCAATAAATAAATATTTGAACAACTCCCATCGTTTTTGCTCACTGGAAAAAAAGTCAAATTAGGTCAAAAGTGGGAAACCAGTTGATTATTTTAACATTTTCTTTTGTTTTTTCCTTTTCACACTAATTTAATTTTAAAATTTAGCTATTGAGTTTCGCATGTAATCCAAATATTCATTATTATTTTCACTTTATACTACTTTCAAATGCACAATAATTTGCAAATGCCCCCCCTGTTATTAAGATATTGGAAATAACGCTCTTAATTCATCAAATATTATTATAAAGTGGACAAATATTGTTTATAATTTAGAGAATAACCCACTGAAAATATTGTAAATGCATTTAATTATTTTGAAGAGAAAGCAAACAAAATTAGTTTTTCAATAATATCAAGATTGAATAGGTTGATGGTGACGTTGAAAGTTGGCCTAGGGGGTAATGTACATACATACTCCTTCCAAAATAAATGTTGATTTCATTTATTGGAAGGGACAAGATTGGTAAGCTTCCTAGTCACCAGAAATTGAATTCGTATATAATTATTTTGGGATTTACTAACAATATTGTAATATAATTATTCTTGTATGCATGTATATATATAATAATTAATATAATGTTGGGTTTGTTTGTTCCACTCATGTGCCATAACATCTGGCATTCAATGGCATTTTGGTTAGGAGTTATAAGGACGTTTTATGATGTATGTACATATTTGATTGAATCACTAGCTATATCCATAATAATTATTATTATAATATATTTACATCATTTTATAAGCATTATAAATTTTCAAAATATATACTATGTAATTAGATATATGTTATTCGGAACTAACTGTTGGTTGCGGAGAACATGCATCATCAATGTAATATATAATAGCATCCTTGTTGGATTATCTCTGTTCCATTATTCATTTATTACTGTTTGTGAAATGGATATCCTTTTTACACTTTTTGCTTGGCTTTTTTTTTCTTCATAAAATTGGTTATTTCAGAATCATATAATAAGTATTATAATAGTTACATTAAAGACAAATTAAAATTTCAGTTTTTTCTTTTTTTTTGTGACTAGAGAGTAAAACTGGATAGGGGTAAAATTGGGAGAATTTGCAGGTGTGGGTTCTATATATATGGGGTTTATTCTTCTCATTTGTTACTAAATAAATGGGCTGTAGATGTGCTGAATTTGGCGGGAGGACTGGGACATGGTCTTATTTGGGCCTTTTCAGATTGGATCCATAAACAAATTAATAGCCCATTTTTGTCTATTTCTCCACAATTTCCAATCCATCCTATTAATTAATTATTAGCTCTCAATTTAAACTTGGTTAATAAGAAGCTCATTCAAAATGTTTTCCTCAAAATCCAAATCCACAAATCAAATACATTTTCATACTCTTGTTGTTTCCTGCCAATCAAAATTTTATTTATTTAACATAATAAATTGTCATCAGCCATGCGTAGTAGTACACGTGGCTTCTAGTCAATGGACCTTTCAGTTGTTGTGGTCAATTTCTATCCTAAATCTCATCACATCACAACCTCCCAAATTAATAATAATAAAAAAAAAAAAAAAGGAAATCCAAATCTTTTGACCCTTTCATTCATTTATCGGATCCTACCCTATCCATAGATAACCAAAATGGATACTTTATCAGGCTCCGTATCCAGCTTGAAGATCCCCACCGCCGCCGCCACCACCCTCCGCCACAAATCTCATCAACTCCACCACCATTTCAACCACCAACATCCAGCCGGCCACTTAATAATTTCTTCCAAACAACCAAACAATTATAAAACCAGTACTCCTGCTTTTACTCACAATCACAACAACAACTTGTCTACTAGTAATAATCAGCTGCCATTTCTGAATAATGCTTCGTCTTCACCAGTAGTAAAACAATCTGCTGGTTCAAAAGCAGAAGAATTCCACCATAAAAAAGCCTCCACAGGGTACGCAGTAGCACTGTTAGACGCAGCACGTGCCCAAAACGTGCTTGAATTGGCAAAAAAGGACGTGAAAAAGCTGTCGAAATGGCTCTCCAACGAACAACTCAGCGGTATAATCGAAAACCCTAATATGGAAAAGAAAGAAAAGGGAGAAATATTGAAAGAGATAATGAAAAAGGGAAAGTTTAATAACAAGCATTTGGGGAAGTTGGTGAAGTTGTTGGTGGAGAAAAATAAGGTGGAAATGATTACGGATGTGCTGTTGGAGTTTCAGAGGATGTACGATGAACTGAGCAGTAATGATCATCAAGTGGTTTTGATTCCAGCTGGGATGAAATTAATGGAGGAGAATCAAATATTGGGAATTGCGAAGATTACTGGGGCTGACAAGGTTATGGTGATTACATGTTGAATATCTCTGCAGATCAACAACGTTACGTTACGTTTTTTATTACGAATTGATGTCCGAATACTATTTAGTAATATTAATGATGATGTTTCCTGTTTTATCCATGTATTAATAATTAATGAATCATCTGTACACATTTTTCAGATATATGTCTAATGAGGCCGGCCCAATGGGCCCTCGAATTCATCTACTAATTAGGCCCACTACACGAAAGCACAAACACCTTTAAAGTAAGGCTTGAGCCCAATAGAATAAGCTTAACCCAATCAACGACATATAGATAGAGGTTTTGCTCATTTCTAAAGGTACGTTCTAATTATTCACAATCAATCTCGAGTTTTATTCTCTCCACTATCTCTACGATCTGTACATCTGACTTGAGCGTCGGAGGGGTTTCCGCCGGATCAACCCCTGGCTTAGTTCACGTGTACTTATTTCGCAGGGACCTCAGGATCATCGAGTTGACTAGCTACTGATCAGCTTTGCTCTCCCAGTTCGTTTTCTATACTACTCCGGTGAGCTATATTTTAGCATCATCATTTTGGCGCCGTCTGTGGGAACGATGCAAACCAGATCACGTAGCCAACAAGATCCTCCTGAGACGTCAGCTCGGAGAGAAAATGACACAGCTAATAACCTCCCAGTCCGTGGAGGATCTGACATGCCACCTTCTCCACGCGCCGCAGAGCCAACTCCTTCACGTGCCGTGGAGCCACTTCCTCCACGTGCTGCAGATCCACCTCGCGAGGTTCAGGTAATCCCTCCTCGGGACCCACCACTCGCCGATCCACCACTCCCTGCTCCTCGAACGGTTAAAATAACCGAGGACGCACTCCAACGCATGATAGCAGAAGCCTCAACTCGCGCCGCTACGGAGGCCGTAACTCAATATATCGCCACGATGGGAGCAAACGCTCCCAATGCGATACCAGCGCCAGCTCCACCTATAGTGCCACCTGTGGCCCCACCGCCAATTCAGAATCAAATAAGTGTCTCATCCTCTACCTCGAACCCACGGTCCTGAGTGCAGCTATCTACTAATCACAGAGGGGCACAGCCCAGACAGCAGCGTCAGCGCCCACCCCCACGGGGGAATGTGTCACCACAGAGAGTCCCTCTCTTTAATGAGGGAGAAGGCGAGGTAAACAGCAGAATGTAGCCAAAATATTTTCCCCCAACCAAATAATCCAATGGGTGAAAGAATGCCTGTCCCAACAAGACGCAGTCCCTTCACCATAGACATTCTCAACGAAGTGTTACCTCAAGGAGTAAAGATCTTGGGGTTACCTCAATTTGAAGGGACCACCGACCCACAGGAGCATATAGAGAAATTCAGTGCCATGGCGGATTTATATGGCCCGATGGATGCTGCGATGTGTAAAATGTTCCACACCACTCTCTCCAAGAGGACAATGAATTGGTTCAACTCTCTACCCATAGGGTCGATTGACACCTTCGCTCGGTTATCAACCCGGTTCACCAACCAATTCGCCATCAACAAACAATATGCCAAGACCCCAGCTCATCTTTTCTCTGTAGTACAGAGAGATAACGAAACGCTCCGTAACTACATTAAGCGTTTTGTAGAAGCCGTCCATGAAGACCCCAGTGTAGGGCAAGACATGCTCTCCGGGATTATGCAGCAGAACTTGAAACCAGGTAGATTCAAAGAATCTATCGCCGGAAGACCCCCGGGTAACCTAGAAGAGTTGCTGAATCGAGCCGAAAAATACGTCCGGATAGAGGAAGCCTCTACCCATGCTCCTCCTAAAAGGAAAAGGAAAGATGACTATCAGGACAACAGGAGGCGCGATGATCGACGTCCACCACTTCCACCTCAAGGCCAACCCTCTTCCTCCTACAATAGGTTCACTCCGCTAAACGCTCGCCTCACTGAAATCCTTCACGTGATAGAACAGAAAGGTTTAGCAAAGCCTCCACGTCCTATGCATACAAATGCAAAGCGAGAAAAGTCGGATCGTTATTGTCGATTCCATAAGGACAGAGGGCATACTACGGAGGAATGTGCACAACTCAAAGTGGCGATTGAGAGGCTGATCAAACAGGGCCATTTAGGCGAATACATTGATAAGCCTCGAAATAAGCGCCGTGATGATCCTCCACGCCGAGATAATAATCGAGATCAACAGCAAAGGCGAGAGGATGGGGGTCACCGACGTGACCTAGATAACAACGACAACCAACCTACTCGGGGAATCATCTCCTTTATCTCCGGAGGACCGGCGGGTGGCGATTCACAAAATGCAAGACGCACCCTCGCTCGATCAGCACGCATGAATCAAGAACGTGCTTCTCCATCCGCACGCATCTATCAAATACGAAGACCTGATCATAGCATAGTCTTCAACTCCTCCGACCTTGAAGGTCCAGATGAAGATCATGTCGATGCGTTGCTAGTAACAACAACGGTGGCCAACTTCTTGGTCAAGAAGATATTAGTGGACGGTGGGAGCTCAGCTGACATCATGTACCTCCACGCTTTTAAACAACTGGGCATAGATAATGCCCGGTTCAGTCCCATTTCCACGCCCCTGAAAGGATTCACAGGAGAGGGCATTTTGTCCATGGGAGAAGTGGAGCTGCCCGTCTCTTTAGGGGAAGACCCTTGTCGAATCACCAAGCTAATCAAATTCCTCGTCGTCGACAAGCCATCCCCCTAAAACATCATCCTAGGGAGGCCAGCAATCCATACCTTCAAATCAGTACCTTCCTCCTACCATCAGAAGTGGAAATTCCCTACTCCATACGGAATGGGGGAAGTACTTGGAGATAGACGTCTCGCCCGAGAGTGCTATGCAAGGGCCCTACAAGAACCTTCCAAGAAGCCTAAACCGTCAGGAAGGGGAGACGACACCCAAAAATCCGACAAACGGAAGTGGGTCAACGCGATCATTGAAGATAATAAAGAAATCCTTATCAGTGTACCAGATGACAGCATCAAGCTAGCAACTGTTGAAGAGCTTAAGCTCATAGAGCTCACTCCCAGAGATACGTCCAAGCTCATACGAATAGGATCCGATCTAGATCCAACCACGGAGCGACAACTAATCAACTTCCTGCGGCACAATGGAGTTGACTATGAGGAAACCTTCTCTCCAGTTGCTATGCTCAAGTCCATTAGGATTTTGCTGGGCATCTCTGCGTGGTATGACTACGAGATATGGCAAATGGATGTGAAGACCGCTTTCCTTAATGGGGACATTGAGGAAGAAATTTACATGGCGCAGCCGGAAGGCTTCATATCTTCTGGAGATGAGCAAAAGGTTTGCAAACTCCAGCGATCCATTTATGGATTGAAACAAGCATCCCGTAGTTGGAACAAAAGGTTCGACACAACTATCAAAGAGTTTGAATTTGTGAAAAACCCGGAGGAACCTTGTGTCTACAAGAAGGTTAGTGGGAGTGCAGTGACTTTCCTTGTACTTTATGTTGATGGCATACTACTCATTGGGAATGATGTAGGGATGTTGCAGTCAACTAAAGTATGGTTATCCACACATTTCTCGATGAAGGATTTGGGAGAAGCATCCTACGTATTAGGAATACGGATCTATAGAGATAGATCGAGCAGATTACTAGGCTTGTCCCAATCCATGTACATAGACACCGTTCTTAAACGGTTTAGCATGGAAGAATCCAAGAAGGGATTCTTGCCAATGTCCCATGGGGTTCGTCTCTCGAAATCCATGCATCCTCAAACGCAAATGGAAATCGAGGAGATGAAAAGGACACCTTATGCATCCGCTATAGGAAGCATAATGTATGGCATGCTGTGTACACGACCTGATATTGCGTATGCTGTGAGCGTCACAAGCAGATATCAGTCCGACCCCGGCCCAGCCCATTGGAAGGCTGTGAAGGACATTCTCAAGTACTTGCGAAGAACTCGAGATTTATTTTTGGTCTATGGGGATACCGAGTTGAAATTAGAAGGCTTCACGGATTCTAGTTTTCAATCGGACGTGGATGACTCGAAGTCAAACTCGGGGTATATATTCAAAGTCAACGGGGGTGTCGTGTGTTGGAAGAGTTCCAAACAAGGCACCACGGCTGATTCCACCACCGAGACTGAATATATAGCAGCATCAGATGCTTCAAAGGAAGGGTCATGGATTAGGAAATTCATCCAAGAGTTGGGTGTATTTCCGAACGCTAGCGATCCAGTACGGCTGTACCGCGATAACAACGGAGCCGTAGCGCAAGCTAAGGAACCAAGAGCTCATCAGAAGTCGAAGCACGTGTTGAGAAAATACCATGTGATCCGAGAGATCATAGAGAGAGGTGAAGTCAAGCAAGACAGAGTCACCTCGGAGGACAATATTGCAGATCCCTTCACCAAGCCATTGTCAGGATCAGTCCACGAGAAACATTCAGAGTCAATGGGACTTAGATTTATGAGTAGTTGGCTTTAGATCAAGTGGGAGATTGTTGGAGTAGCTGACCAACAAGCCAACTTGTGGCTGTGGTCTTTCCTTTTATCTTGTAATAAAACAATCGTTTTTCGTTCGTTATAACAAAATATTTCATTTGGCATTCTATATCTCTTATCCCATGCAAGCAGCATAGATATAGTCCTAACGAGTTACTCTATTACTGTGAGTTGGTCTAGTAGAATCGTGAGATAACTCAGCAATGTAATGTAACTGTTAAACCTTGTTCCTAGTCGATGGGTTACGCCAATAATGAGGATACCGGCCTTTCCCTTTTGAGACTAGCACTTAGTGTATGTGTACTGCGTCTCATCAGTCCTCGGTGTTGTGACATCGGCATACTTGAGTGGGTGCTCATACTAGATGAGTTCACTGAACTCCCTCGCCCTAGAAATCTATAAGTGGTTCTCATTCATCGAGTAATAGGTTTCTAAGATATAGTTGTACACCATTAGTCCTTAAGACCCAGACATCACCGTGACTTCACTAGAGGACCGATTGTATCGTGACCTGTCCCTGAGGCCCACAGCGGACCACTCCAAGGGCCAACGTTCGTGCAATCCGAAATCTAGTGTGAAGTCTGTGCATTGTAGTAGGGGATTCGAGCGCTTGAGTAGTCATGGATGTCCTGTGTGTTCTGACGGTTTATAATCCAAGGAATCTCTGGCCAGAGTTGATAGTTGGGTGATTAGGGAAATGTGTTTCCCTAAGTCGCACACGAACGGATTTATAATACCTAGAACGTTCGCACGGTTATTGAACTTTATAAGAGGTCTCGGTGAACCAATGCCTCTAGTTCAATCGGGACATGTGCTGCGAAAGGATCGTACTGTATGCTAACTATATCATAAGGTTCTTGCAGGCACTTCACTTGTATCTAGGGAATCATGATGCGTAGTTGCTAGACGCCAATCTTGATTCGTTGGGCACCGATTTGATCGGGGATTAGGTAAAATGAGTTTTACTCTAATCGGGACTCTTGGGAGGAGTTCGTATAAGAACAATGTGTTGTTCGAATCACAAAGACTTGTGAGCCCACGGCTAGCATACACCTGAACCATTGAGGGTCACACTTCTCGTGTAATATAGATCCTTGATAACAACAAGCATAGATTAATGTGTTAATCTTTGAACGATTGGATGTCGATATGATTGAATCCAAGATTCGTAATTGTGGATTGCGAATCGGAATAAACGTAGAGAAAGAGAGACATGCGGAATTTAGTGAACTTTCTAAATTGGGAAGTTTCCCGATTTAGCAAGTCCACTGAAGTGGAAGTTTCCAATTTTGGAAATTGGAAATTTCGAAGAGGCACTCGTATCGACGAGGACTTTGAGCTCGTCACAAATATAATTTTGTTATAATTTTGTGAACGATCGTTTATTAGAAACGAGGCCGACGAGGGAATGGGCTTAATACATCAAGTGGGTCAAACCCAATGACTTAAACCCACTAGGGTTGAAAACCCTAAGTATAAATAGAACTCAAACAAGAGTTTGAGATCAGATTTTCTGCACCAAACCCTAGCCGCCCAAGCCCTAGCCGCTCTCCCCTTCGGCCGTTGCTGCCCCGCCGCGCCACCGCCGATCACCGCCGGAAAACCGCCGGTTTTTCTCCTCTCGTTTCCTTCGTTTTACTTGTTGTTTATCTAACTCATTTACATCTAGTGCTGTAGTTCGAGTGGGTCGAAAATACGAGGTGAAACATAATTGGAGAGGAGCTGCTGCCCCGACGAATCCACGCACCGCCGCTGCACCGCCGCACGTGCCGCTACGCCGCCCACGCGCCGCCGCTGCTGCTGCCACACACCGCCGTTCGTCACTTGCTGGATCAGCTTGTTCCAGCCGTGAGTTCCAGCCCCGAGGATTGGTAATTTTCAGCTTGTACGTGATTGGTTCTAGGTTTCGATTCGTCGAAATCTCACGCTACAAGAGGTAAATAAATCGAAACTTTCGTAAATTAATTCGAGCATGTTTGTATGAATTATAATTTATGATTATGAGTAATATGTGATTACGTGTTTCGATTTTATTGAATGATGAACAAGCATGTTTCGTAATTTTCGGTTTTACGTGTTTTTCAATTAAATCGATAATTACCATATGTATGGCGGAAGCGTTAAGGTACGTTGACTATGTGATTAGTTTATGCATGTAATCGAAACTAGTTCGATCTAAAATTTTTAAATTCCGCTGCGTATACATGCACGATCCCCAATAAGAGCCTGCCAATATTCCTCACCTGCCAGCAGCATTAATGCAACCAATCGACAGCCCCATCCCTTTCGCCCAATGGGGAGTGGATTTAGTTGGACCATTCCCGTCTGCCACAGGAGGACGCAAATACCTCATTGTAGCAGTGGACTACTTCACCAAATGGGTGGGGGCTGAACCCTTAGCACGCATCCGAGAAGAAGAAGTCATCCAATTTCTATGGAAAAATATCGTGTGTCGCTTTGGAATCCCACGTTCCATTATCTCAGATAATGGAACCCAATTTTGCGGTGACAAAGTAAAGAATTGGTGCATCGGCTTGGACATCAAACAGTTCTTCACATCCGTAGCAAATCCACAAGCTAACGGCCAAACAGAGGTTACAAATCGCACCATCCTCCAACACCTTAAGACAAGGCTTGGAAGTGCCAAAGGGAAATGGGTGGAAGAATTGCCTAACGCCCTATGGGCTTATCGCACAACCCCACGCGCAGCAACCGGAGAGTCGCCATTCAATCTAGCTTTCGGCACAGAGGCTATAGCACCCGTTGAATCAGGTGAACCATCTTGGAGAGTCACCAATTATGATCCAGCAGCTAATGAAGAAGCTATGCGAGGAAGCCTAGACCTTGTAGATGAGTTACGAGAGATCGCATACATCCGGCAACAGATGTACAAATCACGTATGGTCAAGGCATATAACTCAAAGGTCCGTCCTCGCTCCTTTCAAGTCGGAGATTTAGTCCTCCGGAAAGCTGAAGCCTCTCACCCCATTGGTAAACTCGATCCAAAGTGGGAACGACCGTATAAAATCACAAAAGTGGTTAACACTGGAGCATATCGCCTCGAGAACGCTGACGGACACCCTATACCCAGAACATGGAATATAGGGAACCTCAAACGGTTCTACGCTTAAGGTATACATCCACCTTACTTCAGTTCAGTTGGGGTCACCACCCATACCCCTCCTATATGAAAGTTACTTACAAATTGTCACCCCTGCAGGCTCCACGACCTTTCACGTCACTCGTCTTGTAAAGTTGTTTCTACATGGTTGGAAATTTTCTACTATATAACTAGGTGCGTTAACATCTTACCTACACTGGGGGGCTAGCGAATTTATTTACATCAGCAATTCATAATCACACCTCACCATCTTATTACAGATTGAGAACCAATTACGAGAGGATGCATATTACTCAATCAATGGCCCGAAGAGCGAGGACCCTCCATACCAAATCGCCAAGGGTAACAATACTTCCACTAGACTACAACACACGCATGCTCTTGTTTACTCTTACTGACGTGAAAAAATAATTCCACTAGCAGACATGATCACACAGCAAAGCACAGCAACTCACGAGTTGATTTCATATCTTGAAGTGCGAGGAAGAAAAAACATCCCCATAGTAAGGTACGTGGATTGGCAATGCACATCCCCTCGGCTTCAATTACTAAGTCTTCATTACAAATGCTTAGACAAAATTCCTTTTCCTCAATTATACTTGACAGGCATAGAGACGCCAAAGGAATTCAGTTTACCATCAACACAGCGAAACGAACGAGTACAGGGAAAACGTGGAAGAAGAACAAGTGTAGTACAAGTATAATTGAGGAAAAGCCACGACGTAACGCCCATAACGACGTCTACTAGACCCATCATCCACAACGGTAGAGCGAATATTAATATTAGACTCCAAATCATCACTCCAAGACTCAATGATTTCTCGCGGACCAAAACTCCTCCGATGCACATCAAATTCGTCATCAACTGCCAACTCCGAGACCCCAACCCGCACGCGCGAACCGCGTCGAAAACGGGATCCGGACGCGCCCTCACGCGCGCGCGTCGCATCCGGAGACGCCCTGTCACGCGCCCCCCCCCCCCCCAATTACAGCGCATTCACGCGCCTTCATTGGGCAGCGCGCGTGCGTCAGCCACCGACCCCACCCCTCTCTCCCGCGCGCGCGCGTCCACGCACGCCCCAATCAGACGCGCGTGTGGGAACACGGCTGACACGCCCTGCACACTCGCCCCTCTACGTTTATCTCTCCTCTCGTCGGGCTTTGTGCCAGCCGCCTCCCCAACAAGTCGGCTCGGCTCCACTCCAACATCGGGCTGCGCGCGCACACCCTCAAATCCACCTTCACCGGCTCGGTTCAAGCCAACTCGCATAGTCGAGCCGCACGGGAGCCTTCACCCATTTTACAAGCTCCGATTTGCGTACAACCCTCCACATCTGATAGCACTACCTTCTCGCGTTCCATACCCACAGTACCAAAAGTTTTCTCGCCCCCCTCAACCGGATCTCGAAGTTTAATACGCAAAGATTTCTAACTACCCAGATTCGACATGATAAATATTTTTCCCCGACGAAATAATCACGAAACGAAAATTTGTACTCTACCGCTAAAAAATAAAAGAAGAGAGAATAGAAGAATACCTAAAAGTTAGAGATACATACCCATATTTATTACGCAAGAGTTGAAGTTTAATTCTTTCCAGCGCAAAAGGAGTCTACTTATCAGGCCCTAGTATATTATTTAAAACCCTTAAATATATACCTTGTTGCCATATAAATACAGTTATCCCTTATTTAAATCACGGAGATTTATTCAACGCCAACGCAAAATCGTCAAGCCACGACACAATTAACTATCGACACGAGCCGGATTCCCCTCAACGCATCTCCCATCTCGACTCGAGAGTTGGGGGGCTTAATGATATACCTAAATGGGCCGGCCCAATAGGCCCTCAAATTCATCTACTAATTAGGCCCACTACACGAAAGCCCAAACACCTTCAAAGTAAGGCTTGGGCCCAACAGAATAAGCCCAACCCAATCAACGACATATAAATAGAGTTTTTGCTCATTTGTAAAGGTACGTTCTAATTATTCACAATCAATCTCGAGTTTTATTCTCTCCACTATCTCTACGATCCGTACATCTGACTTGAGCGTCGGAGGGGTTTCCGCCGGATCAACCCCCGACTTAGTTCACGTGTACTTATTTCGCAGGGACCTCAGAATCATCGAGTTAACTAGCTACTGATCAGCTTTGCTCTCCCAGTTCGTTTTCTATACTACTCCGATGAGCTATATTTTAGCATCATCATTCAATTAATTGTGGAAATTGTATATTATATTGTATTCATGTAGCTAGGTAGCTAGCAAAATCTAATAAGTTAATTAATTAATTGTACAGAGGATGCATAGAAAAGTAGCAGATAGATAGAATAAGTACTCATGTCAACGTACGTACGTAATTGAATATTAATGAATATACTAGATCTCTAATAACCGTAGAGCAGAGCACAGATAATAATGACTCGTATACCGCAGATGATGCCTGGCCGGCAGACTTTTTAATTTCATCCGTACCAACAACGTCAAAGCAAACTAGTGGATGAATTATGAAATTATTTTTTCATTTCATTTTTTCATTCTAGGGGAGTATATCAAATGGACCCATAAATATAGTCGAATCGAACATGTATTTTAATTTCGACTGCCCGGTCATTTAATAATTGACACCGCCCCATCTAATACGTAGCACACGGTTGAGACTTGAGAACAGGCGCGCCTTTACGAATTGAGGATATATATAATTAATTAATTAATTAATTAATTAGTCTTTTTATTATTTTTTCTAGGTTCAATTGCAACCACAATACATACTACTGCAGTTCTGGTCAACCATATGGATCAACATTGATACTAATATATAATCAGTACTAGATTCTGTTATTTCAATTCATTAATTTATCCATCTGATTTATTTTACCCCCCCAAAAAAAAAAGACAATTAAAGTTATTTACGGTGGAAAAGCAATTTTTTAATTATTTTCCATGGACTAGGAAACCGAAAGGAAATGCTCATGAGTCATGTGTTTGTTATTTCCTTATCAAGATTTAAAAATATAGAACCAAGACTTTTCCTATTAATTAATTAATAAAAAATAAAATAAAAGAACACCCCGGCTGGCGACAAAGGCGTCTTTTCTTCTATAATATAAATCGCCAAATGGCAAACGCGTTATCATATACAATAATTACAGGATTATTATTATTATGTAAAAAAGAGTTGCTGAAAATGAGTTGTGAATAAAAATGAATCTGCCAGCATACTTGTTGAACATTCTCTGCTACTATGCCGATTTACATGCAGTCAAATCATCTCCCCAGCAGCACAATTTCCTCCAATTTCTTCATAATGGTAAAATAACATCTTCAATTTTCCCATATAATTATTAATATTATACTTAGCTTATTATTTCCCATGTTCTAATTAGGTTATCACTCTTCTTGTTGCCGTTGATTAGTATGTGTGTAAACAATCAAGTTTCTTGCTGAAATAATTCAATTCAGGTCTTTCTAGGTCAGTTTTCTTCTTCCTCCACCATTATATTTTCTCTCTCTTTTTTCTTCTCTACTACTGTTGACTTTTATGGTCTTTGTTTGTGCACACACATATATATGGAAATAAATAACTGAACAAGTTTCAATTTTTATTCCCTGTTTTTTATTTCCATTTTTGTTTTTCAATCTACTTTCCATAATTTTTGGAAATCTATAATGGGTGTTTGATTTAGGAATATGGGTTTTTTTTTTTAATATATTATTTACCCTGAATTTAGTTTTATGATGCACTAATTTCTCATGAATTTCATCCCTTATTATGCTTTCTTGCGGGTTCTGATTGTAGGTGTGTTTTTCAAATCACTGTAAATGAGATTGCATAACCGTTTCCAGCCATACTCGAGACGAGCTTTTGAGTTGCTTCGATTTTTTGTGACGAATTGTTGAAAATGGTTATGGATTTGGTAACCAATTCAGCTCTGGGCCCAGTAATGGAAGTCATCTCTCAGACAATCGAAGCCATAATCGAGATAACAGTCGCCTCAGACAATGTCTCCACCCACAAGAAAAGTTTCGCGCAGCTTTCGTCGTACTTGAACAAACTCATCCCTCTCTTGCACGAGCTCAAGACAAAACACATCTCCTCTTCTTCTCAAGGCCTGTCCAATTTCCTCGAAATACTAAATCACGAAACACGAGACGCCAAGAAACTAATCCGAGACTGCACCGAAAGAAACCGATTCTATCTCCTCTTTAACTGCCGCTCCATTGCCAAGCAAATCGAGTCCATTACTGATAAAATAATCCACGCTATTAATTGCATCCCTTTCGCCTCTATGACCATTTCTTTCAACATTAAGGAAGATATCGAAAGCCTCGTTACTACAATGCATAATGCTGAGTTTAGAACTGCAATTGCAGAAGAAGAAATCTTGGAGAGAATCGAATTAGCCATACAAGAAAGAAACGTCGATCGAAGCTACGCGAATAATTTATTATTTTCGATTGCAAAAGCCATGGGAGTTTCGACGGACCCCTCGGAGTTGAAAAGGGTGTTCGATGATTTCAAGGGCGAAATAGACAGTTTACAGACGAGGAAGGATAAAGCCGAAGCCATGCAAATGGATCAAATCATCGCTTTACTCGAAAGGGCCGACGCAGCTTCGTCTCTCGAAGATAGAGAGAAGAAATACTTGAACAAAAGAAGGTCTTTAGGCGTTCAGCCACTCGAAGCGCTGAGGTCATTTTACTGCCCGATAACTGAGGAAGTAATGGTGGACCCCGTCGAGACTCCTTCGGGTCATACATACGAGAGGAGTGCTATAGTGAAGTGGATATCGGAGACCAACGAACCATCTTCCCCTATTACATCATCACCTTTAGATTGTTCAATGCTGAGGCCTAATAAAACTCTTAGGCAGTCTATTGAAGAGTGGAACGAGAGAAATACGATGATTCTTATTGGTTCGTTGAAATCGAGGCTTTCATTAGGAGAAGATGCAGAGGTGGTTCATTCTCTTGAACAGCTGAAGAATCTTTGTGAGGAGAAAGAAATGCATAGAGAGTGGTTGATCTTGGAGAATTATATACCTTCTCTTGTCGAGCTTCTTCGTGTCAAAAATCGGGATATTAGGAATCGAGCCCTTCAAATCCTTTGCTTGCTGGCCAAGGACAACGATCATGCTAAGGTAACTATTTTATTACAATTATTGTTAACATGTCTATTATTAAGTGGTTCTTGATTTGAGTACCCTTTTTTTAATTTTTGGCAGGAAAGAATTGCGAAAGTGGAGAATTCAATCGAAACGATTGTGCAGTTTCTTGGACGGAGAATCGGGGAGAGAAAATTAGCTGTTTCTTTATTATTGGAACTCTCGAAATGCTTAACTGTACGTGATTGCCTCGGAAAAGTACAAGGCTGTATACTTCTTTTAGTAACTACCTTAAGCAATACCGACCCTCAATCTTCCAACGATGCAAAGGATGTTTTGGACAATCTTTCGTACTCTGACGAAAATGTTATTCTCATGGCGAAAAACAATTATTTCGAGCATCTTCTACAACGTCTTTCTTCGGGTATACATGCATATATATGTTTTGTTTTCGATCTTCATCTCTAAAGGGGCTTGTATTATAATCAGAGGTGTATGTATATATTTATTTTTTGCAGGGTCTGATCAAGTTAAGATGACAATGGCAAAGATCTTGGCAGAGATGGAGTTGACCAACCACAACAAGTTGTTTTTAGTCGAAAATGGCGTACTAGATATACTTCTTGTCTTAATCTCGTGCGATGTAGTTGAAATGAAAGTGGTAGCTATTCAAGCTCTTCTGAATCTTTCAACCTTAAAAAAGAATGGCCAAGAGATGATAAAGAAAGGTTTGGTTCGTCCTTTATTAGATATTCTCTACCGACAAACATCTTCACAGAGGTTGCGCGAACTAGTAGCAGCTACTATTGTACATCTTGCTTTATCAACGGTACCTCCAGATTCCGATCCTACCCCCGTTTCAATGTTGGAATCCGAAGAGGATGTTTCTGAGCTGTGTTCATTCATTAGTCTGACAAGTCCTCCTCTGCAGCAGAATATTCTCCGAGCCTTTCACGCCATGTGTCAGTCTCAGTCTTCTGACATAGTTAAGTCGAAACTAAGAGAGGTAATAAAAATTCGGTACTCTATTTACACTATTTTTATCCTAAGCGACATTTTCTTGATTTGACTGATTTTGCCAAAAAACCACAGCACTCAGCTGCGCAGATGTTGTTTCGATTATGCGAGGTCGATGATGACATCACTTTACGCGCAAATGCTGTGAAGCTATTAAGCTGCTTAACCGAAGATGGTGACGAAAGCGAAACCACAGTCACAGAGCACATAACGCAAAATTCGATAGAAAATTTCCTCAAAATCATCAAAACATCCGAAAACGAGGATGAAATCGCCTCTACATTGAGTATAATCGCCACCCTTCCAAAATCCACTCAAATCTCAAATTGGCTATTGGAATCGGTAAATCTAAACACAATTTTCTCCCTTCTTCTCGATAGCAAGAACAGTAATATTCACCAGAAGCATAAGTTGATAGAGAATGCTGTGGGGGCCACATGCCGTTTGACTGTCGGAACGAGCCTCGAACTGCAAAAGAAAGTAGCGGAAGCCAACATTATCCCTTTGTTGGTTAAGTTTCTAGAGATAGGTACAACCGCCTTAACAATAAAACGAGCCTCGGTTTCTCTCGCTCAGCTTTCATCGAATTCCGTTATGCTGACTAGGCAAATCTCGAGGCGGCACGGTTTTTGGTGCTTCTCTGCTTTACCGGAGCCCACTTGTACCGTTCACGGAGGAATCTGCACCGTTGAATCGTCGTTCTGCTTATTAGAGGCTGAAGCAATCCAGCCTCTTATGCGGGCCCTCACAAATCCCGATCAAGATGTGTGCGAAGCTGCTTTAGACGCTCTTTTGACTTTGATCAATAACGAAATGTTGCAAAACGGTTGTAAAGTTTTGGATGAAGCGAATGCCATACCTGTTATAATCAGGTTAATTAGCAGCTCTTCTCCGAGGTTGCAGGAAAAGGTAGTGTGTTCCTTAGAGAGGATATTTCGGTTGGTTGAGTATAAGCAAAGGTATGGAAATTCAGCGCAAACGGCTCTTGTGGATTTGACTCAAAGAGGAAACAATAGATTGAAGTCTTTAGCAGCTAAGATACTTGCTCAGTTAAATGTTCTTCATGACCAGTCTTCGTATTTCTAGACGCTCGGTTTGTTCATCGTATTTTTCATTATGTATATTCTTTATTGAGTAAGCCTGTGTTTTTTTTTGGTTAATTTTTACTGTAAAGTGGGATTTATAGATAGAGCCACTGATTATTAACCATTAGTTAAGCCAGGTTTGTTCTAGATTCTTTTTGTACTTAGTTGATACCATTATGCCTGTAAAATATTGTGTAAAATTTAATTTGTTTTTTCACATTTCATTATTTCCTTTCACATTAAACGAATTTAACCGTTTTTTAATTCCTGCAATTTAATTTCTGTGTGATGCTCTATATTCAGCCCTTTGGAGTACATAAGGATAAGCTTAAGTTTTATATCTTCATTTTGAAAGAACCCTAAAGTTGGTTTTGAATCTGAAATTTTCAGTCCATTATTTTGCAAGAATTAGTGTTCATAAGTCATAAAAGATCATACATTTGAAACTCAAAGATGATGAACTTAAATATAATAAATCAAATATATTATCAGAATTCACAACAGACTTATGAAACAAAAAAAGAATGATAATAACAAGAAGAAGAAGAAGAAGAAGAAGAAGAAGAAGAAGATTACCAAACACAATATGAGATATTATAAGAAACGATTTACGATCGCTTAACTTTGGTCCTGAATAATTTCCTCCTCCCCACAAATTTAAGAACTTCATCAATCAAAATAACCGGAGCCGACACCAAAATCACAAGAAGCCACTCACTCAAACTCAGTGGGACCACACCAAACACATTTGCAAGAACCGGAACATAAAGTATCAAACAGTGCAGACCAAATGATACTGACATTGCAACGAGCAGCCAAGGGTTCCGCCACGGTGGCATTCTGACCAAGCTGTTGTCTTCCGAGAGTGCGTTTAGGGAATTAAACATCTCGATCGCAACCAGCACAGAAAGAGACAGAGTCATCGCCTTCACTTTCCCCACCGAGAAATAATCACACGGGTTCGAGAAACTAATCGTGCGGGACCCACCACCAACCGTGAATGGCGTTGCGGTAAAATTGGACCACGTTGAGCACTCTCCCCAGTTTCGAAGCTGTGATAGTTCGACGAGTGTATGGCCATCATTGACAAGGTTTATACCAAGAAACGAAGCCCGAGTGTACCACACTATGAATACTCCAACAGTTGCAATGCCTACGTAAGAGCCAATCACCTGCCGACACATCTACATATGTAAGAAAAGGAAAAACAAAACAATATATAAACATAAATATATATAGATATAGATAACAGACCATATAGCGAAAGAAAATCCAGGAAGTGATGAGAGGATCAGAGCTTTTTCGGGGCGGTTTTTGCATAATATCCACATCGGATGGGTTAAACCCGAGAGCTGTGGCAGGCGGGCCATCTGTAACCAAATTGACCCATAAGAGCTGCACGGGTATCATACATTCTGGTATTCCTATAGCAGCAGTCAAGAATATGGATATCACTTCTCCAACGTTCGATGAGATCATGTATCTGCAAACAATTTTTTTGTCTCCGTTAATAATTAATTCTGAACTAAAGTTTCTTATATCACAACTTCTAATACATGCTACCAAAAGCAAATATAGATAACAACCACTTGTAAATGTGGCATTAACGTGCGTGAAGAAAAGGGAATATACCTGATAAAAGATTTCATGTTATTGTAAATCGAACGACCCTCAGAAACAGCCGAGACAATTGTGCTGAAATTATCGTCTGCCAACACCATATCTGCTGCTTCTTTTGCTACCTATAAATATTGACCATAACGAGAAGAAAAAATAAAACGAAGTTAAATTATATACATATTCCTTTGGCGAAAAAACCATAGCAGAAATCAAAATCAAACCACTTGCTCAAAATTTCCCCTGTTACCTCAGTTCCGGCAATGCCCATAGCTATTCCAATATCAGCAAGTTTTAAGGCAGGTGCATCGTTAACCCCGTCTCCAGTCATTGCAACGATTTCTCCCATATCTTTGAGCATCCTCACTATATCTTGCTTGTGTCTAGGTTCCGCTCTAGAGAAAACTTTTCCACCAGGCCTCGACAAAATATCAATTTGTTGCGCAGATGAAAGTGTCATAAACTCTTTGCCGGTGAAACTTTTTCCTTCAAGATCCTCATTTTCAGAAAATAACCTAATTTCCTTACAGATTGCCTCAGCTGTCGACTTATTGTCTCCAGTTATCACCATTACATTGATTCCTGCTCCTCTGCAATCCTCAATCGCTTGATGAACTTCCTCTCGAGGAGGGTCCTGTCAATTTTTTTTAATCTTTAATAAACAAACAAACACAATCCTTCTTCAACTAATAATTATATTCATCACAATACTCACCCTTATACCAACTGCCCCTACAAAGATAAGGCCAGTTTCTATTGAGGAATAGGATGAAGGATCGAGCAACTTCTTATGGGCAGGATGATTCTCAGTATAGTAGTCCGAAAACTCTCCCAAATCATCTTTATAAGCCAAGCCTAAGCACCGCAAACCCCTTGAACTCATGTCCAAGAGCCTTGTTAGCAACAATTCTCGGCATTGTTCATCGATGGGAAATATAGATCCATCAGCTAGTTGTACATATGAACTACGCTCCAGCAAACTCTCTACAGCACCCTGCATGAGCACCACGCGTAGAAGAAAAGATTTAACATTAGAGTTTCCAAGACTATGCGTAAAAATATTCAAAAGCATAAAGGGCAACTATTTTCTACCTATTCGACTAAAATTCGCTAAGCTGCATATACTATGAAAACGAGTTGATTTACCTTGACAAGAAGCCGATTGCCCCCGTTTGACTTGCGGGCAATAACACTCATTGACTTACGGATCCGATCAAATTCTAGTGTGGCAACTCTTTTCGATCTCTTTGTCCACCACTCACAACATGCTGAAGTGAACAGGGAGAAAAAAAAACATCACAACAAAAACATAGGCAGAACATATAGAGAAAACATGTGATTACTAACTCACCTAATTTGACTGTGTTGCGATCAATCAAATGATTGGACAAGAGCTTAGAATAGCGTATTTTATCCTTAACATCACTGTCAGAAACCTCCATCTTTTCACCAACACCTTGAGAGCAGCTTCAGTGGGCAGTCCTGTAACTCTGAATAAACGGCCGTCACAAAATATCCCCGCATCATTACACACGGCACAAATTTCAGCTACAGCTTGCAAGTTGGCATCCATATTATAGCAATTCCAATCCACTATCCCTCCATCTTTGGGGTCATATGTAGTGCCTTCAACTTGGAAAATCCTCGCAGCTGTTGTCTTACCTCCCAAGGTAAAGAACTCCGTCACTGCCATCTGGTTTGTGGTCAAAGTCCCCGTTTTGTCTGAACAAATGACAGTTGTACATCCTAAAGTCTCCACACTAGGAAGCTTCCGAACAATCGCATTCTTCTGCGCCATTTTTCTAGTACCGAGAGCTAAGCAGGTGGTAATGACAGCAGGGAGTCCTTCAGGGATTGCAGCTACTGCAAGTGCGATTGCTATCTTGAAATAGTAAGTGCACTTATCGAACGAAAATTGGAAATTCGTAGGCCGCCCATTTACAATCTCCCACGAGAGAAAATACTTGTAGTTGATAACCCACACAACGAGGCAAACTATGCCAATAGCAGTAGTAAGCCTATTACCAAATTCATCAAGCTTCTTCTTCAATGGGGTTTCACTTTCTTCTAAAGAAGCCTCGTGTATTTGTGTCTGTATATTGCCTATTTCAGTGGACATACCGATGCTCACAACTATGCAGATACAGCTACCGTTAACAACCGTCGTTCCAGCAAAAACCATGTTTTCTTTCGCCTGCAATTCACAATCGTCCATGAATATACAATTGGTGCTTTTCAAGACCGGCATTGCTTCCCCAGTCAACGAACTCTGCTCGACTCTCAAAGTCGAGGTTTTAAGAACCGCAACTCTCATGTCAGCGGGGACTTTATCTCCTACACGCAGTTCCACGATATCACCCGGTACAAGCTCGCGAGCTGGCAGATCGGGCACTAAATACCCATCTCTTAAAACCTTGGTGGAGTCACACTGCATGTCCTTCAAAGCTTCAAGGGCTTTCTCCGCATTACCTTCTTGCCAAACGCCAACAATAGCGTTAAGGACTAATATCAAGATTATGACAAAGGGTTCTACATAGGATTCAAACCCTGATTCATGGGCATCGTTTCCTTGCAGGTAAGCAAGAACAAATGAAATGAAAGCTGCCACTAAGAGGATTTTGACAAGCATATCGTCAAATTGTTCCAGTACGAGTTTCCATAGGGGCTTCCCCTGCTCTTTCTGAAGTTCATTCCATCCAAATGTCTCCCTGCGCTTCTCCGCCTCGTATGTGCTCAAACCTTTGTCTAATTTCACCTTGTACTCTTTCAGACACTGCTCAACAGACCATGACCATGCCTTGAATGGTGTTTCAACTATTTCTTCCATCGGAAACTCAACTCTCACCCCAACTAATTTACCAGGAGTTCATTTCAAATTCTACAGAAGAGACTATATGCAATTACCAAAAATGCAACTCCAGCAAAAAAAAAAATAAAAAAATAAAAAATGAAGTAATTAACAGCCAAATTCTAAGTAACATAATAAATCAAAATTAAAAACGGTGTACAAACAATACTCTTTAGGATCTACTCCAACCATATACTTAATTGGAAGAGTAAGAGTAACTGTTTGATCAAATAATCAATTTAAAGCATTTAATGTGCAACTAAAAAATAAAGTCTTTATTGCAACCCCAACCAACTATGTAATAAACAGTAAAGACAAAACCAAACAAGTGGCCGCTAACAATAAACACAGAAAATCACCATGCTCCTTGACACAGGTAAGTAACACAATAATTGTGCATGCAATTCAGTAACAGAAAAACGCGTATTAAAAGCAAGCAGCATTAGGGTTCATCATCAAAATTGAACTTACAGTAAGAAAATTGACGGCCCATGAAAAGAAAACTTGCAAATATGAGAAGAACCCAGTTCACAGACTGCAGAAATTGTGCATATAAATGAAGAAAAGTCGATGGCTTTGAGACAAAGCAACATGGAATAAGAATATATATAATTCATAAAAGAAAAATACCGGAAATTATCGTGGGGAAAGATCTTAGTCGTATATTATGCTTTCTGTTCCAATTAGCAAAGGCACTCTGTGTGGGTGGGAGCGTTTGGTCAATTTTCATCCAAAGAGTGGTTGCATTTGCATATGTAGTGGAGAAAAGCGGTGGTTATTAGGAATTTTTGTAGCAGTTCTTCTTTTTGAAATGTTTTATTTTTGTTTTTCTAAATTTGAAAGCGGGGTAATCAAGCAAAACTGCTTCTTTACAGTTTACACTTGAAATTTGAATAGAATTGACCTCCTGAATTTATATTAGATTGGCTAATCTTATTGTGTTAATATGATCAATAAATATATTATTGGTATAAATAAATAAATAAATAGTAAATTTTCTCTCTTTCTTTTTGGAACAGACTATATTATATTATAGTGGAATTTCAAAGTGCAACGTTGACTTTGGATTTGAAGACGTGAAGAAGGCTTCTTATATATAGAGAGAAAGGAATCTATACATACATAGTAGGTAGGTAGGTAGGTATACAACAAGCAAAGAATGAAGTAAATAGACATGGACGCCATTTATTTCTATTCTTTGGATCCATTCGACTTTTGTCCATTTTTTTTGTTTCAATTTTAAGTCATAGTTTTATATTAAATTTATTTGTGTTGGATTATTGTCAAATCAAGCTGTCTTAGTAGTTGTTTGTCTGTCGTTAGATATATATATATATATTTATGTGGTTAGAAAAGAATACCAAGAAAACTTGTGTCTCTGCAAGTCAATAACTAAACTTTAAATTATTTATGGTTATTCATTCAATAATTAAACTTTAATTAATTATTAGTCTTTGTTCAAGGAAAATTCGAGGAAACTGCAGCCCAGGCCTACTTATTAGGGATTATCATTTTCTATCATCATAATTAAAATAAAAAAAGTATTTGCAAAAAGTTCAGGAAGGCCCATTTCATAATTAGGCCCATTTTACCACAGCCCATGGGCTTGTTCTGTGTTATTGGTCCACGTGTACGGAAGCTCAAATTGCTCAATTATGAAATTAGGGTTCCATTACGGACTCATTTCTCACATTACCGTTTGAGTTCTTCCGCGAGGTGATTTTTCCTTTTTTTACTTCTTTCGATTTAACTTTTTGTTTTTAATCGAGAATTTGTTCATACGGTGGTTTAATGATACGATATATGATACACATTTATATTTCTAGGGTTTTTTTGAAGTTCAAAATCTAGCGACGGAAATATGAGGCCGATTTTCTGCGGTAATTTTGGGTACGAGACTCGACAATCGGACTTGGAACGAGCGTTCTCCAAATATGGAAGAGTTGATCGTGTTGACATGAAATCTGGTAATGTGAAATAATGTTCTAGTTCCTTTAAAATGATTTCACTTTTTATTCGATTTTTTCCAAATTAAGGATGATTCTCTACTCCAGCATGCTTTTGGAACGTATTAGCAGTTTTATTTGTTAGTAGTTGATGAATCCATGAATTTGTATAGTTCTACAAGCATTTTTCGATTGCATCTTACTGTTTTTTCTAGGATAATCAACTGAAAACAGGCTTTCATTGATGAACGGCCTATCTCGTTAATAAATTAGTTAAAATAAACTTAGGTTAATTCTTTAGGTCAATACTTACTCTTCTAGCTAACTGCAGTGTCGATAATCTTGTTAATTCACCACTCGCTTCTAAGTAACTGCTAGTTTGGTGCCTATAGAATGAGTATTATACGATCGGTATATATGTTTGAAGACCAATATTATTTATTTAGTTATCAATCATACATGAAACTAAAGTTTAACACTCTGCACAAATCACAATATCAACTAGCTGTCTTTAAAACCAAAATTCAAGGAGTCACATCAATTGGTGATATTAACATTTTAAGAATTAATTAATACAAATAGAACTTCATACACTAATAAAAAGACATTGTGTTGTTTTTGCTCGACTTTGTGATTTTGTATGAATGATATTGGAAAAAAATCTGACATTATGGAAGGGGGCGTGCAGATATTTTCTTAATCTCCTTTCATAGATGCTAATACTTTACTAAGTTATTGGTATCTTCCATTTCTCATGTGAAGAAATTCAAATTTATCGTTTCTCCAACCTGAGGTGTTTGTGTTTGTCACTGTAGTTTATTAGTTGAAGCCTTGTATCAAAGTTTGTCAAGCATTCTTTATTTACTGAACTCCAATATATTGAGCTTCGAGTGTTTCTGTTTTTCTTGGTTTAGGCATTTATACAAAAATTTGACAGATAAGCATGTGCGGCCTTAAATATATCGTGCAATACTGATAATGATTGTTTTGTTAATCATACCAATGCTCATTGTAGTATTTATGGTCAATGTTTTGTATCGGGACATGAAAAACTGTTGTCCTTCAATCATGCTCCTTTTTATTGTTTTTTTGGCTCGATTTTGGGTTGTGTTTTCACACCATGCCCATGTGTTTCACTCATATGACAACGAGTATTTGTCCGATGTGCTAGATATGGTTGTGAAATAGGAGGTATCCCATTTGAATGTGGTCTTAGCCATACATGAGGATTGATGTTTGGTAAACTTGATGAATAATGGTTGTCATGAACTTACAACTGATAGAGGCGATGTATACTGAATATGAATATGTATATGTAACATTGTGTGATGTATCTCAGAAAAAAAAAAAGATAGGAAACACGAGCTTGAAAATATAAATGGCAGGAAATATAAACTTATCGAAGGACTCCATATTTAAGTGTTTGTTTTGACGCAGGAACATCTGCTAAGGGAAAAATGAGCTTCTATATTGGCTTGCCATCTTCTCTGCAATAAAACTTCTTATGCAAAGGCAACCTACGTGCTTACCTGCTCTCCTCACCTAATGCAGTTGGAATAGTTCCACATCTATTTCATCCAATCTTCTATTTCTCTTTCATCAATGTGCCTAGCAATTGCCATCTCACCAAATTGTAGTGGTGGGGATTAATTCATCATGCCATGATTTCCACAGTAGCGATAAAGGGTTTATGTGTCAGTTCATCATGCCATGCCTACCATCACTAATCATCTTAAGGCGATCAATGAGTTCTGTCATGCCATGACTTCCATTTACTGAACTTTTGCTGTGAAATTGGTGAAGCATGCTTAGCGATGATGACTACTCAACTTTCACCATGATCTAGCCTTAATTTGCCTCCATCATTATTCATCTTTGTTTAGTTCACCATGCAAGGCCTCTACATCCTTACTTTCATCAGAACCTTCTCATGTTTGCAGGTGTTGTATTTGTATTTTAATTATTGCAGGGAAAATATTTTCCTGTATTAATGCTGCAAACTGTCCAGTGCTAGGATGTATTCCCCCCTCTTTCCCCATTGCCCTGCACCTCGTAACTTTATCTTTTTTTAACCTTCAGGATTTGCGTTTGTTTATTTCGACGATGAGCGTGATGCTGAAGATGCCATCCGGGGTCTTGACAATTTACCATTTGGGTATGACAAGCGTCGATTGTCTGTAGAATGGGCTAAGGTATATTCCCTTATGATATTGGACCACTTTTTTGTCTGATCTTTTGGCCTTTTTGGAATTAGTATGTATAAGTTGAAATCTCTTTCAGACAAGCTTTCAAGTGAAATTGTTAAAATCATTTTTATGTTGTTTCATTTTGTCAGGGTGAACGCGGTAGGCATCGTGAGGAGAAGGCAGCAAACCAGAGACCTACTAAAACCCTCTTCGTGATAAACTTTGACCCTGTGCGTACTAGAGACAGTGACATAGAAAGACACTTTGAGCCTTATGGCAAGGTACTGAATGTGCGCATTCGTAGAAACTTTGCATTTGTGCAATTTGAAAACCAGGAAGAGGCAACTAAAGCCTTGGAATGCACTCACATGAGGTAGTTAGTAGTGAAATCTGATATGTATTTTCTTTTACTCATTTTACTTTATGTGTGGGCTGAAAAATTGACTGTATGTATGGGTTTGCAGTAAGATACTCGATAGGGTTGTTTCTGTTGAGTATGCTCTGAGGGATGACGATGAGAGGGGTGGGGCCCACGAGAGTCCAAGAAGAAGTTACGGTAGGCGTGGAGATAGTCCTCGCCGAAGGTCACCCAGTCCAGCATACCGAAGGAATCGACCTAGCCCTGATTATGGGAGGCCTCGAAGCCCAGTTTATGATAGGTACACTGGTCCATCATATGACAGGCCCAGGAGTCCTGCTTATGGGAGATACCGAAGGTAGCTATAGCTGTATATGCCGAATAATCAATCAGCTCCTTTTATCTTTACATTTATATAACACTAAGTTAAAAAAAAAGAATCATGAATGGACTCAAGATAAATGATCAAGTATGCCTAAAATTTTTGCAGTTTACGTAAATCTGATGTTATTTTCTTCAGTTCATGTATTTACATTTTTCTCTATTGTTTCTTGTAGTAGGTCGCCTGCCAGGAGAATGAGAACCTGATGGAAGGGTCGCTCGAACAATGGTTAATGGGTCTGTAAATGCAGTCACAAGCTTATAGTTTAGTGTCGAAGATACTCTGAATTTCAGTAGTTCGAATGTGATGGATTTTTGTGGGTTTCTCTTAAAAAAGCTAGTAACTGATGTAATTGGTTTTGGTGACCTATGGAGTTTCTATTTCGAATACTCTATAATGTTTCCTTATGTAGTTTACCATTTACCCTGGTTGGACGAGCTAAACAAGAAATCCTTGTGGTGTTATGTTCTCGTTTGTTAAACAGCAACAAGAACTCCGTATTTCATATTTGATTTGTGGTTTATAAATATTCTCAAGTTCTAGTTTGGTTAATGGAATAGAAGGCTTGTTAAGATTACGAGGTTATTATTAATTCTTACAGGAGATTTGTTGAGCAACAACATATGGACATGTTATAGAAATTGGTAGTGCATAGTTCCAACAATTCACCCAAGCTTCTTACAAAGATATACATACAAAGATATGGTAGATCGGCACAAACAAATAAAACGCAGAATCATAATTTTTCGAAAAATCAAGAAATAGTGTGGTGCAACTCGTGTTGAATAGCTTTGTCAAGCCAAGTCTCAGCATCATCCATGATAGCAGGGCTGAGTCTGACCATAAGAATGCAGAATTCAGTCTGGTTTAGAGCTCCGTCTCCATCGAGATCGCCTTCTTCCACCATAGCTTCTGCATCTTGAAAACTCATTCCATCTAAACCCAATAGACCACAATTCCTCTGCAGACTTAATGGTGTGATCAAACCCTTTGTTTGATCCGAGAGAAGCCGGAATCCACCGCAGAGTTCCGCCACAAAGGTATCGACATCTAGCTTATCTGCCATCACAGACAACAAATCTTGGTATTCTCTGCTCTCCTCACATTTGTTGCTTTCCATTTTCCCGAATTGAGCTCACTTGAATATCTGTATTATTTTGGCAGCCCCCCTTTATAGAGGAATGGAGAAGTGTTGTCACAATATGAAGTTGAAATTTGTGGTAATTTGCAATAAGTGGTGGTGTTGTCGTGTGATTCCGTTAGAAATGGACGGCCTGGATTTATTTTCCTTGTCATATTTTGATTTTTAGTGGCTGCCAAATAACCCAAGTTGTGAAGTCGTGATGCTCTGTCTCTATATAGTATAGTATAGTAATTGTGCCATTGGACATTCTTGATTGATTTATTAATTAATTAAATGGCATTGAAATCCAAAAAAAGAGGTATTTCCAGGAAATTGCTGAATAGAGAGAGGTGGGGTTGGATTTATAATTTATGGGACGTTAGTGTCAAGACTCGTGACTCTTCTTTCAGTTATTGCCTTTTTGTTATCAACTATTATTGTGCGTGTGTTCCTTCCAAGAAGCTTCCTTATTCTTATTCTTATTCTCTCTCTCTCTCTCTCTCTCTCTCTCTCGGCATGGCATTATGGAGCATCATTTCGTACACAATAAAATCTATTTGTACAGGTGGTGTTGTTATCTTTAGGGTTTCTTACTCCTCGACGGAAGTGGGTTGTGACTTGTGCGTGTATATAATTATACTACTGCAACGTGTCGTTCATGAACAAATTTGTTTAATATGTTTTTATTTTATTTAAATTTGAGCTACCGATACTAATTCGATTTAAGTTATGAAATGCATTTGTCAGAGTATTTATAAGGGATTTAAAGCTAATGTGAAATTAGGCCTACATGGACCTATTTATTTGGGCTTTGGCCCACCAGGCCGCCAAACAAAATTGTTAGCAAATTTTAATTACAAGATGATTTTTTTTTTTAAAATATAAAAAATCCCTTTTCTAAAGCCGGCAAAATAAAAATAAAATAAAATAACAAAAATCAACGTAGAAGCAGAGGTTAGGGGTTTTGGGGTCCGCGAAAAACCCTCCACTTCTTTCAGGTAAGCGCCGGTTTCATCTTCCTAAACTGTAATTTTCGAGCTTTTTTTTTTTTTTTTTTGTGTGTTTGATCATCGGAGTGATTGAATTTTCCTGAATTTGTGTTTATTTCGTGATTTTAATCAAATTTTAGATGATGTTTAAACACGAGAAGAAACCAACGATGAAAAAATTGATTTAGATGATTCAAATGTTTTGTGATCGATTATGTTGTTCAATTGTCTGCTTTCAAAAATACCATTTGTGTGTTTTTCTGTAGCTAATTGCTTGTTAATTAATCACCCTCCAGAAAATAAAAAAAATAGTCTGTGTTAATGCTATTAAGACGCACATAGATTTGGATAATTTTGTTTCCCTGGTTTATCTTCACTTACTTGTGATTTTGATGCCTTATTTATTTTGCAATTTCAAATGCATAAATTGCACATTATCAAAACAAAAATTCTGGATTCCTGCAAAAATTCGTTCACGAATGCAAAAATAACGTGCTGAAATTGTCACAGAATTAACCTGTTTTTTGTGTAATCCTCGATTTTCACACAGTCGGAAAAAAAAACTAGTCGGAGCAAAATGGAATTCTGCCCAACTTGCGGGAATATGCTGCTCTACGAACTGCCTCACATGGACCGCCCTGCATCATTTTCATGTCCGACATGCCCCTATGCATGCCAAATAGAGACCAAGGTTTATTAATTTTCCATCCTCCTTTCAGTTTGCATCTACATATATTCAAAGTAATCACGCCCCTCGTTTTTTTAACAGGTTAAGATCAAAAGGCATTTACGCCTGGTTAAGAAACCGATAGATCCCATTTTCTCTGAAGATGATCAAAATATTAATTCAAACAAAACCACAGGTTCACTCTTTTTCTTCTTCTTTTATTCTTCTGCAAAGTTGGTTTGCAGGTTTGTGATAGACTTAACTATGGAAGATCCCGTGTTTAACTTATTAGGTGTTTATTATTATTATTAATCTGTTAATGATTTGTTTTAAAGGTGAATTTGACTTGCCTTTAATGGTACCGACGACTGCTGACTTCACAAATAGAATCTTATACCTCAGCCTTTTGTTTTCACAAGTTTGAGACATTGTTTCAAATTTTCTTGCTTATTATTCTCCAACTCTTTCTCGAGAATCATAAAGTGGGAGTGCAATTTTTCGGGTTTCTTCTGCTTTCATAGTAGTTGACTTTGCATGTATATCTATTGTTGACTTTCCGTGTAAACAATTGAAAGAGATGGTGCAACTATTGTGAGACGAGGCTTAATCTGCTCTTGTTATTGGTGTGCAGGGGTGTCATGTCCCGACTGCAATCATGGAGAAGCTACTTTCTTCCAAGTCCAGACAAGGTCGGCTGACGAACCTATGACAATATTTTACACATGCACAAAGTGTAAACGCACTTGGACCGAGAATTAGAGTTCAACTGAGTTCAGCTATAGTTTTTATTTGAATTGGATGATACATTGTCTGCATTGAGAATAATTTTGTTGCCGGTATCAATATTCGCATGTAGGCTGAAATAAGTTGTTTCATGCTTCTCCATAGATTACGAACTGACATTTCAGTCGTACATGAGAAAATATTGGATGATATTAATCGATCGCTCGTGCAAAAGATGTCTCTTGTTTTATGTCAAATTCTTCTCACACAATACTTTTTCTGTCGCTCTTTTTCGGATATAATTCAACAGATATACTAAAGAAATTCGTCTTTTAATTTTCAAAATCTTTGTCGAAGCATCATTTCCCCCAAACAAAATGAAAATTACCCATAAAATGTAACCAAACATAGCCTAACATTCAACCATCCGCTTGGCAATGGGAAGCGTAGCAAGAAATGACCAGTTATATACAATTCTCAACCGAAGATAGGATAGTTAGTCTTCACCTCCTATAAACAATGTTGTTTGAAAACGCAAACAGTTCTAGGAAGGAAGCTACATCCAATGAAGGAAGTTTCGTAAATCCATCGCAACCCAAAACACAATTTAAAAAAAAAAAAAGAAAAAACGGAGAAGAATGAGAATCTCGGTCGAAGCAACACTTTTTTCAAAGAATAGCCTCTTTCTGTTTTGTCATCCATCTTCTCCTGGTCGTCTCAATAGCCTCCTGCTTCATTCTAGAAAGCTCTTGAATCCACAGTTGATACTGCTTTTCAATGGCATCAAGCTCCAGCTTCAGATCACTCTCTTCATAATCTCTCTCCTGCCCCTTGTCTTTTTTTGCTGACTTCAAATCACCCTCTTCGTAATCTCTCTCCTGCGTATTCAAAGTCGAACAACTGCTTGCAATGCTGCCCACTATTGAATCATTATTATTATTATTATTATTATTATTATTATTATTATTATTATTATTCCTGTCGGAGAAAATCATTTCCAAGCTTTCTTCAAACTGGTCAACCGGAGGACATTCGATGTTGCCACCTCCATTTTCATGAATTCGGATTTCATCATAATATAAATCTCTAAACTCCATCTCAGAGACAGTGGCACTGTAATATTTAGACAACTTCTCTTTCTTCACCGAAGAATCTTCGCCCATTACCCCACAAGTTGTTAATTCCAGTGATAATTTATTCCATGTGGTCTCCAAACATGGAGATGCATTAAATTTGTCACCAGGGGGGGACACCGAATTGGGTTTCCCACACAAGTTATTTCCATTTCCATCACTTGACAAACAAATTTGATGATCCATACTGGAATTAGACTCGTTATGCTTCTTGATTACTGACTCGGTTTGACACCCTTGATCTGATGTCAAAGTTAGGCCACTTGGGCATCTCTCACCACTGTAAGAACTACCAGACGAAGGTTTCCAATCAGGCAAAATCCTCATTATCAGGGAATCGATAAAGTCAGCAATAAAAAGTACATCATGATCTGCTAAATCCAGCTGCTCGACCATCTCAGACGCAACAGCAATAGCTGTGTCTGAATTTGGGTAGAATAGGAAGTGTATGTTCCTCACTCGACCTGCAATTTAAAGAGGAGATTAAACCGGTGCTGAGTCTGCAAACAGTGCCAAAATAAAATATGCAGCACAAAAACTCGATGCAGCACAACACTTACCACCTTGATCAGCAATACGCAAGGTTAATGATATTGAGTTGTCATCATTCTTCTTCCCGTTCAATCTGAATTCATTGTTGCCATGCGATCTTTCAAATTCCAGAACCGAAGAACCGTGGCTACCGAAATTGGACTCTGTAGATACAGACAGGTTATATTCAGTGTCTATATCCATAGAACGGGGCCCAAGCTTCACTGGATTTAAGGATCTAGGAGCTGCTGCATCAGGTATTAGTGGCAGAGCATTAACGAGTTCTTTGGATTGCTCTAATTGAAGAAAGGGGTCTTTAAGAAGTTGCTTAGCAGATAGCCTCTGAGAAGCCGGGACCAAGCATTTTTCAATGAATGTTTTGACCTCCAGAGAAGCCACCTTGTCAAGAGAAGCAGGTTTGATACCCTGCCAAATGAAATGCTTTGAAATGACAGCCACGTAATATTAAGACATCGATCGGGTAGTAGAATGCAAGAGAACTTACAGATGTAACTTTCCTAAATATTTGTGCTGGGTTTTTGCATTCAGAATAAGGATAGTCCAAAGTGACCATTTCCAACAAGCACAGTCCGAAGGAATATATGTCGACTAGTTCATTGTAATTCTCTTCATAGAGCTCTGGAGCCATAAATTCTGGGGTTCCTGATAAAAAATAGCTGAATAAGTAAGCATTTTTTAAGGGAATTGTTTCTATTCAAGAAAGTATGATTCAGACTCTTTATACCAATGACACTTTTAGCGGTAGGCTGTTGCATTACAGTTGCCAAGCCAAGATCCCCAATTTTAACTTCTCCGTGATTACCATTTATGAAAATATTGTCACATTTCAAATCCCTGTGAATGACAGGCGGATTTTGACTATGAAGATAGTCTAAACCTCGGAGAATCTGCCTTGCCCAGTTCTTTATAGCCTTCATGTCAACATTTTTGTGCTTCCTACGATACCTAACAACCAAAATATAGAATATTGGCAACTAAATCACACAATAATCCCTTAAAAAACACGAGAGAGAAACTGAAGAAACTCACTGCCTCAAGCTACCAGATGTGAAAAGCTCGGTTATCATGTTAACAGTCTTCTTCTTGTCATCAATCCATGAATCGTAGAATTTGATGATGTTCTCATGCTTCAGTTGACTAAGAAGATGAACCTCGCAGTTCAGTTTTTCCAAATCTTCAGGTGACCGCAAGACATTGTCTATTTTCACTCGGTTCCATGCTACTTCTATTCCATCAAGTTGGTCAAATGCCTTGTAGCTACCGATGAAAAAATAAACAAGACAAGGGATATAAGATAGTTTGACGTAATCCGTTTCTTATAGTCTTAATAAACAAAAATATTCACAAAAAGATAGAACCGGTTTCAAACACATACACAGTTTTGAATGCACCCTTGCCCAAGACTTCCTTGTACTGCAGAAGTAAAATCAAAACACAGGCCGTCAAAGCCAAGTAAACAACAATCGTAACAACCGTACAACGCTGTAGCTCACTAAATGAATCAATCACATCAAAAATAAGATTAACAAATCTTCATGACTTTTTCTTTCTTAAATTCCACGACACCATCAAACTTTCCTACCATCATTTAAGTAACTAAATTACCATTAAACTAACAACTGAATGGATTGCACTGGAAATATAACATGCGCCTCGTGGTAAAGAAAATGAATCAGTCCTCATATTTCATAGCTTCAGATGATAAACACAATTATGGAGAGCATAAATACCAATCCCAAGACTATAAAGCAGAAAATGTTGCTCAAAAGACAACGAAGAAGATATCGAAAACCCCCAAATATACAATCAAGATCCAAAAATTACGCGGACACAGGACTATAAAGATGAAAATGTTATTCCTATGAAGCCAGAAAACGAAAAACCACAAAATATACAAGCAAAAATCCAAAATTTACCCGGACATATCGACTCCTCGTACATTTCTCCACATAATCCACCTCCCCATAATGCGCGTCATCAGGAACAGCACAGCCAGAAAACCCTAGCATTTCCCCTGTCCCACTTCCATTTGTTATCGAAGAAGGTAACCCAACCGCAGGACCAGTATTCATTCCCAAGCCAGAACCAGAACTCATTCCAGTCATTAGAACCAACACCAAAACAACCAACAGCAGCCAAACAAAATATTCCAAGGAAAAAGGAAATATGCACAAAATAAACAGAAAAAACAACGGCAGCTCAGCAATCACAGGAGGGCGTCGAACAAATTTTTCGAAGCAATGCAATTGGAATTGAACGGCGTTATCCGGGAATTGAATAGAGGTCGACATTTCCTATCGGCATGGGGTATGTCAAAATTTCTCAACGGAAAAAATGATTGCGTGGCTAAGAATACGGGGAAAAATCCACCGTGATACGAAGACGAGTTTTGCTTCATCACCGCACCTTCAATTCCCATTAACGCCTGCCTAATCGTACGAATGCAGTAACATCATCGCCATCATCATCATCATTGTTAAGATCTAACCATGATACAAATTAACAATGGAAAAAAAAAAACAGAATTTAAACGAATTTACAATTAATTGCTCTCGAGTCTAAAAACAAAAAATTGCAGTTCCTTCAGGAAAAAAAAAAAAAAAAAAAAGAAGATTTGTTTGATCAGAAATGGATGTACAGAGAATGGACGAAAATATTTTTGGTAGTGGTATGGATAGGGGAGTTAGGGAAAGTAGGGGAATTGGGGTTAGGATTTGATTCTACAGCCAACAATTTGAGGCGAAAATTAGGGCAGAACACACAGTTGTTGGGCTGAGGGGTGGCCGATTTAATTTAGTAATTATATCAAAATGCAATTATCTTATTTTTCAATCTTTTTAAGGTTTCGAAAATTATTTATTTTCTAAATCATGATCCGAATCTAACAGTTGAGAAGGATAATTGAGTTAGGCCATTTTCTTTATTTATTTAATTTAATGTTGTGTTCAAATAAAGATTAAAATATTTTTTTCTTAATATTATTAAACTCAAAACAACGTATTTGAAAAGCAAAGCATATCTCTATTAACTGTTATGCATTGCCAACAACAGTCTTCCTTGGATACCCATATCAAGAATCTTTAATTTCCTATAAATTAAAAAAAAAAATTAAAAATTGAAATAAACCCACGAGCCAAAATAGCCAACATTCATCACCATGACGAGCAAATCTCTCTCTCCCTGTGCGTACACATCACAACCCTAATTTAGGTAATGTGTGTTGAGCAAACAGTTCGGTGAACCAATCACAGCCCTCCACGCAGAAATCAGAAAATCATTTCATTGTGGAAAAAAGAAGCGGTGGTTTGGGTCTACTTGCTTCATAATTCAATTACTGTGGGGGAGTTTTCTCTGAAATTGTTCTAGTGAGAGAAAGAGATAGAGAGAGAGAGAGATGGGTCTGCTGACAAACAGAGTGAAGAGGAGTGAGATCAAGCCTGGAGATCATATCTATACTTACAGAGCAGTCTTTGCTTACTCCCATCATGGTTAATCATTAATCATAATGCTGCCTTCTGTTTCTTTTTTTTCTTTTTTTTTTTTTTAATTATTGATTATTATTTAATTTTGCACTTGGAAGAAAGCTGCACTATTAGCTTTTTTTGCTTTCACTTGTTTCTGAATCCTGGGTCTTCCAAGATTGTGCCCAAGAATTTCCATTTCTTAGTTTACGAGTCTTCCCAGAATTGCAATTGGAGTAAAAATCCGATCTTGATTCACTGGAAAACTGATTGATTGATGCTTCAAATTGAATTTTCCAATTTGCTTTCATTGGAAATTTGCATATTTTGGTTTCCAATTTTTATCAGTTCCACTGTGTTTGACTTATAATATGCAGGCATCTTTGTTGGGGGTAGCAAAGTGGTTCATTTCACCCGACTCGAAACCAACACCTCTTCCTCGTCCAACAACGAAGCGGACAGTCTCACCGAAGAATGTCTAAAGTACCCCGACTGTGGTTTCCGACAGCCAAACAGCGGGGTCGTTTTATCGTGTCTCGACTGCTTCCTTAAAAACGGTGCCCTTTACTCTTTCGAGTACAATGTCACTCCATCTCTTTTCCTCGCCAAAGTACGAGGTGGCACATGCACAACTGCCGCCTCGGACCCACCCGAAACAGTCATTCATCGAGCAATGCACCTATTTCAAAACGGATTTGGTAACTACGACGTTTTTCAGAACAACTGTGAGGATTTCGCACTGTACTGCAAAACGGGGCTTCTCACGGTCGATAGGCTCGGTGTGGGAAGAAGCGGGCAGGCTTCGTCTGTGATCGGTGCACCTCTGGCGGCACTTCTTTCTTCCCCACTGAAATTGCTAATGCCAAGTCCCGTTGGTTTGGCTACTGTGACAGCAGGTATGTACTGTGTGAGTAGATATGCAACTGATATTGGTGTCCGAAGTGATGTTATTAAGGTCGCTGTGGAGGATCTTGCTGTCAATCTTGGTTGGGGTAATAACGAAGCCGAAAATGTGAGTACTAATCGGCAACCAGGTGATCTAATCTCATTGGATTAGATTTATATATATGTGAAGTTTTAATATTTGAGAAAATTCATAGTAAGTCTTGTTTATGGTGTTAGATGCGATAGAAACTCGTGTTTGTTGTTGATTTCGTTACAAGTGATTTACGAGTTGGGATTTGAGTTGTTTTCTTGGTTTATATTGTCGTGGGATTTATGAGTTCTTGAATTTATGCACAAATGAATTAATTCTCTGTACAAAGCTGATAACATATTCATATCTGAAGAATCTAAGAAATGCAGAACAAATAGACATAACTCTCAATTAAAACTTTTAACTGCAGATTGCTAATATCACATTCAAAAAAAAAAAAATCACCCCGTTTTTTCGTCGAAAAGCTAATATACTATGACGAATTAGCAGCAGTTTTTTCTTCACTGTACAGTAAGCAAATCAGCATACGAAAAAACTCAGACCTTTTGAAGGGTCATCATCGTTTTATCTTCTTCACTTTCTCCACTATTCCGGTCAACAGCTTTCGGGTTTTGTCCTTTTTTCGGTTTTTCGTCCTTTTCTGATCTGAACTCAGCTTTCTCTGCTAGTACATTTACTGCATCTGCAATCTTCTCTGTTCTTGCAGCAATCTCCATTAGCAATGATGATACTGTGACTAATGGTACAATTTGTACAAGTGTGACTACTATAGGACTAGAATTTCCCTCTGCAGTTCCGCCCTCATTTTTCGGTGCAGTTGATTGGATTGGTTGTTTCGAGAGGGATTCTAGAACATTCTGGAGTTCTTGAACAGAGCTTCTCATTTCTTCCACCAAAAATTCTACTTTCGATGACCTTGTCATTGTACCGATACTAGTAGCTAATTCTTTCAATACAGCCGAGGAATTAGCGCTCAATCTTATGCAGAACTTCCTGAAGTGCTTCTTCAAGAAATCGGGAACCTGTAAAGTTTGAACAAAAAAAATGAGTTCCCGAAAAAACTAAAAACTTGTTGAATTTTTCGAGTTATGATTTACCTTAGTGTCTGAACTGATGCTACCATTAAGGGTTTCAATGCAGTAAGCACAACTCCTGATTAAAGCACCGACTTTTATGTATTCTTTCCATGGATGTCCCAAATTGAAGCTCCCGTGTGCTGGCTCCCATCTTGCAAAATTAGCCTGCATAAAAAACCGGGATTATTTATGGGTTTTTTTTTTTATTTTCTTGATAATTTTCGTTTTAACTGAATCGAATAATACAGAAAAAGAAGAAGAAAACATAAATATACCATGGCTTCTTCTGTTGCCTTAGAATTAAGTGCACATTTATAGCCTTGCATTTTTTTATTGCAATCTCCACTATCAGCATCTTTGAAATACTCTGCCAGACATCCTGAACAGAAAAAAATCGATCAATTCTCGCGCTCTTTTACGGCAACTAAAAGTTGTAATTTTTAAAATTATTTGTCTTACCCTCTAAAGAATCTGAAAGCTTTTCCATGTTGTTTTTGACGAGATTGTGAAGTTCGGTTCCAGCCCAAACAGGGTATATAAGCATGCTTGTGAGTATGCAAATGGAGGTTCCAATTGCAATAGTGGATAATCTATTATGAGCCAATTCGAACAATTTCTCCACACGGTACCCCGACACGGAAACCAGGCTGAAGGTGAGAATAAAGATCATGGCCCCATAGTCGAATCTTGCTTTTATCGATGGAATGAATCGAGAGAAAGTTGCTGCAGCAGCTGCAAGAAAAACAAAGAGAATATAAAGGCAGACACTAAAGGTTATTATTAAGGTAACTACTTCGCATTCAAATGTTGTCTTGTCCTAAATATTAAATACATTCAAGAAAATATTTCTTACCTAGAAGAAAAACCGAACATTGAAGAATTATTGGCTCAAATTTTTCGCCAGATTGACTAGCTATCCAATGAACACCAACCCCTAGTGCTCCTGCCAAGAAAGTTCCGATTGCTCGGTTCACACATTTTGAAAGTGTCGCACCTGCATTTTTCGTGTGGTTAATATACATACATACATTATACATATATGTATGCAAAGAAAAGGGGTTTAGATAAACTTACCCACGGTGTATTCGAAAACAACGACAACTGTCATGACAGCCCACATAGCATTTCCTCCAACTCCTTCATACAAAGGCCTCATGTAATAAAAGAGTGACACTAGCGTAAGGGCCATTCCTACTTTGACACAATGCATTGTTTTCTTAGGCTCGTTCACTCCCATACTCCACGCTTTTCGGAAAAAATCGGAAATTTTCGAAAAAAATCTCATCAATCCTCTGCAAACTCTGCTTTGTGACGTGGATTCAGACACTAATACTTTAGAAGTTCCATCCGAGACATTGATTCTCCACTCTAATCCTCCACTTTCCTTAACCATTTTTTCGTGCAATCTTAGAACTAGTAAAGAATTTTGTATGTTATGTGTGTGAAGAAATAGGCTTTCGCAATCAAAGATTTTTGTCTTTGGTGCTAGGTTTGTTGTGATTAGTTTGATGGTCAAGTAGACATATATATAAGGTTGCCTTAATTTGATAAAGTAAGGTTGAAAGGAATACTGAGTTTGGAGGAAACTAAAAAATGTTTTTGGTAGGTCATCTTAGGTTTTGTTTAATTAGGTACTACCAATATTTAATTTGCATTTTAATCATCACTAACTATATATTAATAACTTTTAACTAGAGGTAAGATGAAGGCATGCATATATGTTATATGGATGTGTATACGTGTACCGGTAGAGTATAATTCGGTGAATTTCACCGGGTGTAGTAAGAAACGATATATTGACCTAAATATCAATGTCTTGACATTCTTTGGAACTTCAAAGAGATATCATCAATAATTATACTAGTTAGTGTGCTTAATTTCATGACATAATAATTTAATGTGAGATATATTGTCCTATTTTTTGTTTTTTATTACAAGAAAGATTCATATATATTTAAGAACTTAGTATTTTAAATTAAATAAGCTTTTCTTGATCTGGTGTGATGTACGTCAAGGATAAAAAAGCTACCACAAACTTTGGACGAGCAGCAATATTGCATGTCTTCCTGTATTTGTCTTTAAGCAACACTTGCCACAGATAATATAGTTTCTTATTATTATTAATTAGCATAATCAATTGATGCAATCTTATAGTAACTAATTAGATATAGCCCACCAATAACTAAGATTGTTAATTAATATAATCTTATGGATTAAAACATAATAATCACTACTTGTAGATTTTTTATTTATTATTATTTTTGGCTTGGAGTCAGTGGCGGAACCCATCGTTACACCACTTGGAGAAAATCATGTATTTTATACAGAGATTTAATATTTTTCGAGTAAATTAAAATACCGCCTCCGACATCTTTTTAGTTTATATTTGACACCATAAAATTAACAAAACCACAGTTCTCGATCTTGCCATAACGAATTGACAATATACCTTGAATTTAATTCATATAATTATTATGTATATATCCCTGCAAAAACAATATATTGACCTAAATTAATTAGGTTATAAATCTTTGAACAGATGAAAAAGAAAGAAAGAAAGAAAAGACCTAATTCTATCACACTGCTAGTTGAATACAGCCTAAGGTAGCAAAAACCAATGACTTTTGCTGATTGAATACAAAAATACTAATTGTTTCCAACACCCAAATATAATAATAATAATATATAATCATATCTCTTAGCTACTGCTATCAAGAAAAAGTCCTTGATGCATAATAATTAGCACTACCAATTTTAATTCGATTCAATGTGTGCAAATTAGGTCATGCATGAAAAGCAAAGAAACCCAATGATAATATTTTTTCTTGATGTTTTGCCCAATAATTAATATTATTAAGAGTTTTTGGATGTTAGTTAAATTAAATATATATGCACTACGATTATTAATTTGCAGAGTTAAAAATGAACCACTTATAAAAGCTAGTTTACTTATATATTATGATGATATTTCAACTTTCATTTCTCTTTATAGAAAACTTACCGACCAAAATTTACTAATATTATTTTTTTCATTAACATTTGCTGGCTGCTGCATGTAATTAATTAATAAAGAATAGTTTGTGCATGTATAAAATATTGATGCAGAATATATTTTAAAGAAGAGTATATACAAAAACGTAACATGGCTGCGGTGCATTTCAATTTTCATAATTACATAATTAATGGCGAAGAAGTGATCGACTTTATATATATATATATATATATATATATATATATATATATATATATATATATATATATATATATATATATATATATATATGTGGCTCGATGAGAAGGCCCGGTTCAAAACAGTGCTGCATGACGTGTAGTACATTACACGTAGAGATCACACTACCTATATTTACATAGTGATCATATTATTCACAATATATATATAGATAATATATTCTATACATACATACATACATATATATATAATTATATAAATTCACAAATGCCACGAGTTCATTTTGATCAATATCATTACTCATTCATATCAGTTTATCATTTGGTTCCAAAACAAATGAGTTGTAGATTAATTAATGTTAAAAGTTAAAACATTTATTAATTATTAATTAGGTTTTGTGCGTGCTCGAACAAAGCATAACGTACGTGTTATATATAACCTAATAGTTTTATAAGTGCAATCATATATAAATTAAAAACTCATTCAAATCTAACCAGATCTCCATCTTTGATATCTATAAAGAAAACAATATATATATTGAGTTGGCTCATATATTTATATATAACCGACACCCTATTTAAGAAATAGAATATTTTTTTTTTTTTTAAAGATTATAGTTTCTGTTCCTTAATTATTTTAAAAAAATAACCGAGTTTTTAAACAATTAGGCAGAGTAATTATATAGTTTATCTTCTAATTGTAACGTTAGTATACTTAATCTTGAGTTATTCAACATGATTGACAAGTGTATTTAGTTAGTGAGTTAAGTCATTAATTAGTGTGATTTGCGCCTAATTTGCTGATCACAGGCGTACCTACCTTGTACTTAATCATCATTTGTACTATAACAACATCAGGAGTTTGACAGATCAATCCATTTTTGGCTGTGGTCAAAATTAAATATCCAGTTCTTTATATTGATGTTGACTTCTTCTATGCGGCTGCCAAATTTATTTTTATAATTTCAGGCCTTCAAATCTATTTATTATTATTTTTTAATTGGTCTAAAATGACTATATATGATCACTTGAATCATTTTTTATTTTGTTAGCCAAATGTCGAGTCCACCTCTAGTCAAAATCAAAGACCTGAATTTCGTACTAGTACTGACTACCAAGTGTTTGGAAGTGTTAGTTCTTCTTCCATGCACGATTTATTATTATATTATATATAAACAAAATATAATTATTATTTTAGTATGATGCAATGTCGTAATTATAAGTTAGGATAAATTACAACAACCCCTGAAGTAAGATCTATTTAAAAAAAACCATCATTTTCCAATAATTATATCCATCCCCTTGAAATTTGTAAATATCTGAAGTTAACAGTACCCTTTTGTAGTGAAAGTAAGAAATTTACAAATTTCAGTAATTTTTCAAACAAAATGGGTTTTTTTGTAATTACAGTTTACCTCAGGGAGGTGGTTGTAATTAACCCTATAATATTTCAAATTTGTTTGGGCCTAGAAAGTGGAACGTCATAAATGAACGATTAAGCCCAATATCAGTTCACCTTATTAACGGACTGGGGGTATGTGCAATGTTGGGCTGTTCTTTTTAATAAAATATTGAGTATTAAAATACATATGGGCTCATAAACCCTACAATTAATTTTTTTTTTGGGTTCTAAAACCAAACCGAAATGAAAAACGAACCCGATCAAAATCATCGAGTTTGAGCCGAATATAAATCGAAACAAAACGAGCCATAGTTAAAGTGAACTATTTAATTATTTATCTTTTAAAAACCGAATATGTTCGGTTTTAGTAAAAAAAAAACGAGCCAATTCGCACTGTTTACGCCCCAAGTTCTTGAATTATAATATAGATATTAGGTTCCTTCGACCCTACACATGGTCATAAACACCGGGCTGCCACGTGTTTTTTTTTATTTTTTTCTAAAACTCCTAAAGGTAAACCCTAGCGGGGGATCTATTATAAAATATAAAAAAAAAGGCACGTGGCAGCAGAAGACCTACCCGGTGTTTATCACCGAGTGTAGGATCGAACAAATCATAGATATTATGTGTCAAAGTTATGTAATTAATTCATCTCATCTTAGCATAGAAACTAAATGAAAATTTGAGTAAAAATAAAGGTCAATGTTTAGTTAACCAATCAATCATCATATTCAAAATTGGAGTCCGAAAATTGTGATTGCAATATTGTCAGGTTGGGCTGAAATGTTAGAGAGTAAAAGAAATGCAGGGGGTTTCATTCTTATCCTCTTATGTGGAGTAATATTTCCAATTAATTAATAAGAGAATAGACGGTTTTATCTATCTACAAAACCGCGACAGAAAACCAAAAAAAAAAAAAAAAAAGAAATTTTATCAAAGAAACAAACAAACACGCCACAAAGCCTTTTTGAGACCCCTCCCCCTTGAACACGCTACTCCTCCTATTTCGAATTTTCGATCACACTCTGAAAAATCGAGCTTTCTGGAGTCGATCAGGATCAGAATCTGAATCTGAAGGATTCGTTATTTCGTAATCGGATCAAAATCGGGTTTGGAAACGATGGGGAAGCTGTACGTGAAAATGGTGCCGCCGGCAGATCTAAACCGGAACACCGAGTGGTTCACCTATCCTGGGGTTTGGACTACCTATATATTGATTCTCTTCTTCGCCTGGCTCATCGTTCTTTCTGTTACCAATTGTACCCCCGGCATGGCCTGGACAATCGTCAATCTCTCTCATTTCCTGGTATTCATCCCTCATCCCTCATCTCTCTGTGTTTTCATTATTACCTATTTTATTTGTTATTTTTTTCGGAGATTTTGTTTTGACTCTGTTGAAATTGAATTATGAACCCTGGGATTGGATTGGTTTATGTTTAATTCTTAGCTTCTGCAATGGTTAGCTTGATCTGGTATGTTATTAGGCAGCTCAAATGAGCTTTTAATTATCACTCTTGGCCAAAATTTCAGCTTGTGCGGTTCATCCATAGCCTTTTTTTCTCTTTTTTATTTGATTATTATTGTTGGATTGTCGATAGTGTATTGTTCTGAATGTTTGTTGCCCACTCGTGATATCTCTAATTTGTATACCCTGCGTTTGGACCATTTTCAATGCTTTTCATATTATTGCGAAAATTCAGATCATTGGACAATCAAAATTTCCCAGCATGTGATCGTTCTCTCTAGAAATATCAAATAAGTGAGAAATCAACACAAGTGTTAAGTGGAAAACTCCAAATCAGAGAAACTCGCTCTATTGCAACCACATAAATATTCATTATGTGGTTAATTGTTGCAACAACTATATTATTTTTTCTCCTTAGATCTACAACCAATGATTTGCTCACTCAATTTGCTCTCAATAAATTGGATACAACATCCTAAGAAATCACTATGTTCCCTTAGTGTTTACAAATGCTCTCGCTAGAGGAGTCTAATACTTGCCGTAACACATTTCTTAGGACTACACTTCTCATTGATTTCATATATAATTATGCTCATTCTCGAACCCTTAGTTTACAGAAGCAACAATAGACATTAGAAAGGGAAGAACATTATTACCACTGCGACTAAGCTTCTTTCGGTCAAGTTTGGTAGCTTTGGTTGCAAGTTTGGCAGCACACTTTTGTCCGATTTTGCCATCTTTGAATGAGGATGCTGGTCAAAGTGTGCTTCATATCAAAACAAAAATTATCTATATGATTACTTTTTTTGCAGAGAGCTTATCCTAACAAATCTCCACCTCCACTACAGAAGACTTTCGTCTCCGATACGATTCATTGGTTACGATCCCCTTCACAGATAGTCATAATTCACGACATAGATAATTATTATACTCCACCATGTATATTAATAGTTCACAAACGTAGAATTAATCACCAAATTGTATGAAAAATTATCTCGGCGTACCACACACCTTGCATCAATCTAATATTTGCCCGGGCACCTCTGTCGATCCACTAGCAATAACACACCCTTTTCATGGAAAACTGAGAGATCGATGTGTGTATATCATAAGGAATTGTTTAGCATTTTGATGTCGGACTGTGTTTGTGGTGTCTGGTATATATTGAATTTTGTTCATGTGATTACTAAATTATCCTCCCTGTGTTGCATTTACTGGAAGCAGGATCAATGGATACGTTCGTACTTTCCTAGTCTTATTGAACACTTCATTTCTCACTTGCCTAGTAGGCAGGGCAACATTCATTACTCAGTATCATTCTTTTCACAATCATTCTGATTCATGTAGTTCTTATTGCTTCTGCGTGTTGTAGATTGTAATGTAATAAATGGGCTCGATGGAGAAAAAATGTCAAACACCTAGCTTGTTAGCATTCATTTTGTTGACTCATCAAGTAACAGGTAATATTGTCAATAGGTGCTATCTTCCTTTTAGTGCTAGCACTTAAGATTTATTAACATACCCTGTTTTATTGCGTAGTAGCTAAAAGTTTTATGCTATATTTCAGATTGTTTGTTTGTTAATCTATTGAAGCATCTTCTCCCCGTAAAACTATAATTCATGAATAACCCACCCAATTCCGTGTGTTTGTTCTGTAATTATTTTTGAATACTTTGTTTAAAATATGTTAAGGAGTTTGAATGGCTATGGTGATAAAATGATAGTTGGTATTCTTAGTTGTTATGGTGCTGTTTATTCGACCATCTGTTTGTCTCCTATCCTTTCCCCCCCCCCCTTTTGTGCTGTTCTTCCTTATCTTACTTTCATGGTCTTGGATTTCCCTTATCTGTATTTTATTCTATGAAATGCTTATTTACGAATTTTGTATCGAGTGATTTTCACATGCCCTAAGTTCATTGCTGAAGTTTCATGCACCTGCACCTGTTCTGAGTTGTAATTGCTTACATGATGTACTTCTTTCATGGGATGAAAAGCTTCATGCTTTCTTATCCACATGGTCATTGGATATGTAAATCATAAACAGATCAGTCCAAAGTTTTTCTTCGACATGACTGGATATGCTTCTGTTTTTAGGTGACTTACCACTTCTTCCATTGGAAAAAAGGAACCCCTTTTGGTGAAGATCAAGGAATCTATAATGGGTTGACATGGTGGGAGCAGATGGACAATGGAAAGCAGCTCACTCGCAATAGAAAATTCCTGACAGTTGTTCCTGTGGTTCTGTAAGTCCTCCACACATTATTTTAAGCAGATTTTTTGCTATTATATCTCCTCCAATATTCCTGGGATGATGCCCCATATAGTTATTGTCTCTCGTGTGCTGCTTTCCATCATGCTATTGCTTTAACGTTATACCAGTACTATGAGGGTAAAATCAAAATTTTGTGTGACGAATTATTACTTTTATAATGTGCCATTTTCTCTTTAATGTGTCATATCTAATACTCATACTCCTACGCATTTCTAAACGAGCGAGAAGGCTGAAATTTATGAGAGGTGTCAAGGACTCGGGATTTTTTTTCATTGGCTGGTTCACATTGATAAATTGGATATAAATGGTTGCCGAATTGAATTTTTGAAGTATTACTAAACAAAACAATGAATTGTGTGTTAACGAGACAAGGGGGACATTACATTTCAGTCGACCTCGGATTATTTTCTAGTTGAATGGCTTCTCAATTCTTAAAAGAAACTGTAGCTAGTAAAATGATGCTAGAAGACATAAATAAGAATACTGGGAATATGGCAATTTATCTACGGTGTATAAACTTTAAAGCTGGATGGGGCTACCCAACAGATATTGCTAGAAAGGTCTTTAGTGCATTGATTCAAATATATGGGGTATGGAAATGGTTTACAAGTTGCTATGTATAATTTATTCAATAATGCCGTGGTCCTTTATGAAAATTGCCTAATCTATCCCGAATCTAAATTGATCTGGTTTTGAAGAATAACTAGTGTTTTTATTTGTTTATTTGTTTATTACAAGGTCTACGTTGATGGCTGATGGTTCTTGTTCTTCTTTAAGCGCATCATCATACACATTTGAATCTTTTTCCGTGTTATATTGCTAAATCAGTTTCCATTTTTCGATGTTGACAGCTACTTGATAGCCTCGCATACAACCGACTACCAATACCCGTTGCTGTACTTCAACACATTTGCAGTGCTTGTGTTAGTTGTGGCTAAGTTCCCAAATATGCACAAGGTCCGAATCTTTGGAATCAACGGAGAGTACTGAATTTGGAAGAACTATTAAACCAGTTCGTCCCTTTTAATTTAAGTATGAGACTTCGATCCGTACTACATCTGTAAAAAAAGGAAAACAAAAAACAAAAAAGGTTTATGCCTCTTCTGTGTATAGAAGCTGGAACTCGTGAGTGCATCTGGTAAACGTACTATATCGTGCTTAGTTATTTTTACGAGCCTCCTCCAAACTGAAGCAGTATATGTAATGAGTTGTATTTGTACCTTAGAAATCTTTTATATACTTTTTTGGAGATTATTGTTCTTGCCTTCACTATATATCTCAATCTATTAATACTTTTGAATCTAGTTTGCAGGGTTTTGTATTTGACGTGAGTGATTACGGTGTTTTGATTTTCAACATTAAATCATTCGACAAGTCCTAGGTTTATGTAAGAACGGATTTTTTATTTATTTATTAGTTATTATTTAGTAAAAGAAAGGGCAAAAGATTGTGGGTGGGGGGTGGGGTGTATGATACCATATTATAGATTTCGTGAGAGCACATGCAGTAGATATATATGTAATGACAGAAAAAGATTGAAATAAAAGGAACAATATAATGGGTATCGATGATTATTCGTGGAGGCACACTTGCTTAGCATTTTAATTTTTTTATTTTTATTTTGTGAGGGACCCTCAAATACTCCAAATTGGTATAGTTTTTGTCAGACTTTTGTTTGTGGTGTGAACAGTACTAAAACCTGTGGTATGATTGGTACTCATGGCTATATTAATTCATATATATATGTTAATTAATTAGGAAATTTTGATTAGGTGAGGTTTTTGGTTGAGGCAGGTAAAATTAATTTGCCTTTTTACATTAATAATTACACTATACTATGCTATGTATCTGCTTTCAGCTGATATTTATCAAGTCTACTTATTTAATTAGTGTTAAATCTACTTAAGATGCACTGTATTAAGAATTCAAACTCACACATACATCTGTGTGTGGCCATCATATATATATATATGTTAATTGATTAATTAATTAATTAATTACTCTTTGTTGGAAGCCATTTATGACTCTTGCATGGAAGTGCTTTCTTAGCTGGAAGAATCTCAGTCAATATATAAAAATGCAGCTTAAATTAAATTAAAGACTTTTTATTTATCTAGGTCAGTCCTTTTCTTTTCTTCTCTTGTTTTTTCATATATATGCGTGCACTAATGGGGAGCAATCCCCAAAAGCAGTTACTTTCTGCTGCTTATGTTTATTTTTGCATATTCTTTTTTTCCTTTTTCTGTAGCTCGCCGGCAATTAAACATATTAATTTATAGCCCAAATTTAGATTACGGAAATACTAAATCAATTATAGATGTAGAGGTACCCTATTAATTAATTAATCAGTTTGTCTCCTCTTTCTCATAATTTAAACTTTTCGATGAATACAAAGCACAAAAAATTTCATCAATGACAAGTACGGAGTTGTATAAAATCCACAAATTTACCATTTACCACACACATACAAAACATCTTTTTTTGTTAATTATAACAAACACTACAAGAATTCAAAAAAGTAATTAAAGTGAAGAAACTAAGATATACATAACACTCTATGCAGTATGCCTGTTAGTTCTTAATCAACAACAACTCCAACCAAACCACAGAAAAAAACCAAAAGACCAAACTTTAAAAAAAATAAAAGGAGGATGAAGAAAAAGTATTAATATTGCATCTTATAATATATTTTCTCGCGCTCTTCGAAATTCCGTCGTCGTTACCAAGAGCCTCCTCCACCCAACATTCCATTCCAAAATCCATTTGGATTATTAATCTGATCATGTCCCTTTTCTTGATCATGATCTGCTTCAGTACTTGTACTGCTTGAATGCTGCTTAATAGTTGTCGATCCCAATGTAAACATTAGGCTTCCATTAATATTTTCCTGCGCCGTCTGATCTTGATTATTAGGGTTTCCGTATAGATTGGAAAAGGCAAGCGACGACTGCTGCTTGCATTCTTGAAACGGAAAACCGGACGATGCAAAAAGGGAATTGGCTTCTAGAGTACCCGGAGCCATAGGGATGAATGAATTAAATCCCCTAACTCCATTATTATTAATTCCACTCCTCAGAAAATTTAGGGCTGATGAAGATGAAGAAGAATCAATCTTGGGAAAATCAAGAAACTGAGAAATATTATTATTATTATTATTATTCCCATGAAGATGGTAGTCTTGTTGGTTATAACCAAGATTGAGATCATGCCCTTGATCATGATCATGGATTTTAGGGTTTTGGGAAGAAAAAAGGGAAATGTTGCTTGGAGGGTTCAAATCAGGGATTCTTAATTGTGGTGGCATCGTCGCCATTGACGAAGAAGAAGGTGAGTTGTTATTACAAGAAGATGTAGTACTACTAGGTTTCTTGTTCTTTCTTGAACCGCCGCCAACCGGGACGTTCCGTAGGGTTCCGCCTTCGGTCCAATAGCGTCGGCAAGTCTTGCAGAAGTATCTAGGCTGAGTGAGGCTGTAGTTGTTGTAGTAGCAAAACTTGGTGTTTGTTGATTGACACCTAGGACAGTTTGTCACTTGGTCCTTTTGTGGTCTCACTAATTTCCTCTCCACTACTTGCGGCGGCCGTGCCATTGTGCATGCACCCGAACCGCCGCCTTCCGCCATCGATTTCGCCACTCCAAATTCCTGAAATTAATTTATTCATTTGAGATTTTATAAAAAGGGTTGATTATATTTTATTTTTCAGCTGCATATTTTGGGATTGATGGAACTAATATAAATAGTAGTAGTAGTAGCTAACATCTAGAAAAATAAATAAAATAAAATAATTAATAATAATATTTTTTTCTGATCCAATATATCCTTCATAACATTTACAACAAACATGCAAAAAAGGGAAAGATAAAAAAAAAAAGTACATACTTCCTGCATGTTATAGTAATAAACTAATTAAGAACTGTACTTTAAACCTAATTAATCTCAAGAGAAGAGAAAAATGGACAAGAGAACAAGGTGCAGAAGATCATTAAAATACATGAAATATATGCAACTGTAATATTCATTAAAAAATTATACAAAAAGAATAGATCTGCCCTAGCTAGTTCTTGATTAATAACCAGAAAAAAAAAAACAAAAAGAAAAAAAGAAGAAATAATTACATGATGAGTTTGCACCTGAGTCCATTGAAGATGATGAGCACTATCCATATGGATGAATGTTTTTTGTTTCAGAAGAAGCTTATAAGCTAAGACAAAGAAAAGGGCTTATTACAAAAAAAGTGATTGTCTGAAGAAGGTAATTAATTGTCTTCTTCGATGGAAAAGAAAGAATGTTTTTAGAGTTGTTGTTTGTGTGTTTGGCTTCTTTTGAGTTGGCTAATTAACTTTATGGATGATGGGAGGAAAAAGAGCACATTGCCGGAATTCTTTGTTTTGACTGTTCCAATTATTATATATATATATATATATTCTTTTTAGGGTTTTATTATTATATATTTATATTTATGATGTGATCTTTTATCAATGTTCATATTTATTTTTTAATAATATAATTATATAGTGAGTGGTATTGTGAATGTATCGTGTATGGTGGGTTTATGCTTTTCTGACTGTTGGAAATGGAGGAATTTCTCATACTTGATGTCTTCACCTTTAATTTGTCATTCCCACTATGGACTTTTCTTATTTTTTATCTATATTTATTTATACCATTGCCAATTAATTATTACTGCTATATATACTTAGATTATGCTTTGGTCAATTTTGTTCTCTATTATATTATTTATTTAATTAGTGTATTCTTTTCTTGAAGTATTTGGATTTAATTGGAGTGAGTTTAGGAGGAAAAAGGGGGTTTGTGTCTTAATTAGTAGATTTGAAATTTCAAATAAAAGCTATGATGATCATTATATAAACACACACACAATCCCTATATATATATATATATATATATATAGACCATATTTCTTTATGCTTTATTGATGGATAGTTTATCTTTTTATGGTTCTAAAGGGATGTTATGTTTGCATGTTCAAAACCATCATCATCATTAGCAAGCAATCCTTTTTCTTTAAGAGGAAAAAAGTCACTTAATGAAAAAAAAAAGAAAAAAGAAATGTTGTTGTTACATGCATGAAGCTTAGCTTTCTTTCTTGCCTTCTTCATCAATTTATTTTATTAGTTTCTTTCTTTAATTCCCATTAATTGGTCTGATACTCGATCTATTTCAAATTAACTGTCGTTGTTTACGGCCCATGCATGGATTTTAGGGAGAAAAAAAATATACGATAAGACTAAATGAAATTTGAAAGAAAAAAATTATTGCACTATATGAACAGTTTCAATTTTTTTTATTTTTTTTGTCAATTTGCACTTTTTAAAATACACTAATATTATTATTTGTTTAAAATGTTTTCTGCATGCGTGCAACTTCCATGTAACGACCATTTACAGGAATATTAGTTTGATAAAGTTTTTATTCTTTCGTCAATAGAAATAAATCTCAGTTACTAAGAAAATAATTAAAAAAATCAAACTATTCAAATTTGACATGTTTTGACCCAATTAAAGTTTGTTCAAACTTGATAATTGCAAAAAAGGGAAAATTAATAATAGTAATAATTAAGTACGTAAAGAAGAAATGAAAAAAGGCAGACAAAAAGAAGCTTTGGTGGGCTTCAAATTCAATTAGTGCGCAGTGCAAATTGCAATGGCAGAATTTTGACGCTGTACTGTATTCAAATGTGAACGCATCCCACTTTCTAAAATTTCCGACAGTTTAATTAAATCCCAATCAACTTCCATCTTTGTCTGAATAGTATATTAAAAAATGGGTAAATTATTGATTTTTTTATTTTTGAAGATTGAAACAAGAATTAAATTGGAATCAAGAATCAAAGGCTATACCAGAATTCAATAGTACTGATGATCAAAGGAAAAAAAACAGAATCAGCTGCATTTTGATGATTTGGATGTTAATTAATACAATCAAGAATATGGTTCCGAAAATCTGATTTCGTCAACGATCGAATCGAAACCAATCGCATTTCCGTCAAATTTCATTTCAGCTGTAACACAATCCAACGCTGTGAAAATATCGTCACACCTTTCATGGCTCTTATCTTCGACAATAAACTTATGTATCAACCCTCCTTCTTCGATAAAACTATGCCCTGCTCCTTTAACTACATTTGACCCTTTCATCAATTTCCTTAGCTTAGCAACTCCGTTCCATCTGCCAGCTCGTGCGTAAATATTTGACAAAATTACATAATTACCTGGATTTAACGGCTCCAACACAAAGAGCGACTCTGCAGCTTTCTCGCCCAATTCCACGTTACCATGAAAACTACATGCCCCTAGCAAAGTTCCCCACACAACCGAATCAGGTTTCATAGGCATGGCTTTTATAAGTTTATAAGCTTCTTGTAATAATCCAGCACGCCCTAAAAGATCAACCATGCATCCGTAGTGTTCGATCTTTGGAGTAATCGAAAATCTTTTCTCCATAGAATCGAAGATTTCTCGGCCTTTGTTGACCATGCCTCCATGCGTGCATGCAAGAATCGCCCCCACAAAGGTGACATCATCTGGTGTTACTCCTTTCGTCTACATTACCCACAAAAAAACAAAAAATGGTAAATTTGGGCTTCAAAATTATATAGTATCAATTGAATTATGAAAAAAATTGAAAAAATAGGAAATCGGAATTTCGGAAATTGGAATGAAAACAGTTGTTCCAAACTCGGAAATTTCCGGGTCGGAATCGGCAGAATTCGGAAGCTCCATTTTTTTAGCCACATATAATACAAAATACATAACAATATTCATATTTTAAGTGTAACTTTCGAGAAATAATCGAAATTTTTGGAAATATTTTCAGAAATCATAATCGGATCGGAAATTGGAATCAAATATGTTATTCCAATTGCGTCCCAAAAAAAAGATGAAAAAATCGAACTCGGAATTTCAGTTCCAATTTACACCCCTAATCACGAGTATTGAAAAAGTTACCAGCATTTGGTTGAATATCTCGAGAGCTCCATCACATCTACCATGGACCGCCAAGCCCATGATTAGCGTATTCCAAGAACACAAATTTCTATTCCCACTACCGATTTCATCGAACACCTGCATTGCCTTCTCAATCACACCACATCTTGCATAAAGCTCAAGAACCGCATTGCACACAAACGCATTCTTGAAATAGCCATTGGCTCGAGCATAAGCTTCAATCCTCTGCCCAACCTCCAAAGCACCAAGATTCGCACAAGCTGGAAGAACACTAGCTAACGTCACGTGGTTAGGCTTAACTTTTCCATCTCTCTCCATCGCCAAATACATCTCCAAAGCCTCTTTGTATTTCCCATTCTGCGAAAACCCTGATATTATAGCAGTCCAAGAAATCACATTTCTCGAAGGCATGTTCGAGAATAAACGCAACGCTTCACTCATATCCCCGTTTCTTGCATACCCCGCGATTAAAGAATTCCAAGTGGGGGCATCTTTGTCATTCATCTCGTCAAATATTTTTCTCGAGAAACGCAATAGTCCCATTTTAGCATACATGTCAACCAACGCAGTTAATGCGTAAACATCATAATCAAGTCCGAATTTGATAAAATGGGCATGGAGCATTTGGCCTTGTGAGGGATTGGATAGTTTAGCACAAGCAGAGAAGAGGAAGGTGAAGCAATTGGGATTAGGGGAGAAGGAGAGGTGAAGAATTTGGGAGTAAAGAGAGAAGCACTGGAAATGAGGGCCATGAGAAGAATAGGCTTTGATGAGTTTGCTGTAGAGGAAGAGAGTTGGGTCAGGCGTTTTGTCGAGCAGTTTGTGGGCGTAGTTTATGTTGGGGATTTCCAGTAGCTTGGTGATCAGGTGATTGGTGAAGTTTGTGCCATTTCTTAGTGCGTGGGCGTGTATTTGTTTCAGATGGTTCATGCGAAAGATCCAAAGTTGAGCGATTCTTCTGCAGTAACAAGATGGACGAAGAACATTTACAGTGTTAAAGTGTACGATAGATATTGTCACAGGTTTGACTTTTGGGGCTGAATTTTGTGAAGTTAATTTGTAACACAAGTTAATATAGACCATTTTTTCCCTCCTCTTTTAAAACTAAAATATTATATATTTATGCATGTATTTACCGGGAAAAAAACATAACATAACTTTTTTTTTTAAATAACTTGAATAAAATATAATATTTTTGTTGGACGTAGAATGAATTGATGCATCACCAGATCTAAAGAACAATTACTTTTTTCAATGGAAAATTATACACAAATAATTGCTAAAATTAACAATAAACAAAATAGAGAGAGTATTCATGAATCCAGAATACAGAGAGAAACTTTCTCCCAGATTCCCCTCTTCATCAATTCAATATAAAGGAAAATGAAAGAAAGAAAAAGGGGAAAAACTGTGATTATCGGTAGGATTTTGATGACAACTCGTTCGAACAAGAAAATATAGCTGAAATCAAATGCTTCACAAATCACAATGGCTCTCAAGCTTCTAGAAATAAAAGAAAAATGGAAAGAAAAGAATATACAGACTCAATGATTTTAATAAATAAATAAACAAACATAAATATCATAGGAGAGACATTTCCATATATATATATATATGTATGCATGTATATTGAGGTCAAATAGGCGTAGAAACGGTGGGACTTGGGAGTTTAGCGGCGGTGGGGGTGGAAGGGTGGTAGGAGGAGGCAAAAGAAGGGAATTTGGTGAGCATAAGGGGGCGATCATTGGCCTCTTCGTCGACGTCGGAATCGGTGGTGGAGATGTTAATACATGAGCACCTCTCCAAGGACGCGAAGAATGCCGTCGCCACGCTCGTCCCCACCCAGCTCGCCACTCTGTCCAGCTTCTCGCACTTTATGAATCCGCCGCAGCTGTTCTCCGCCACTTCATTTGGTGCCATTTTCGATAGACACACAGAGAGAGGATATGGATTATATGGAAATTAGATAAAAATGAAGCTGAATTAGGAGGGGGGTGGGAAGACAATTACATCAAGAAGAAAGATTCACAAAGTGGACGGATTTTTCTTGATGTTGGAACAACCTATGGCAATTTTATGGGCTTATAATAATCATGTTTTGCCTTGTAACGGCCGGTTTTTGTTTGTGAATGGGATTATTAGCTGGAAACAAAGTAAAGGTCTTAATTAATTCCTAAATTATTTAACCACTCTAAAGATAGACCTGTGGTACACCTGTTCAATAGCAAATATGAAAAAGTGGGATGCCCCCAAATTTAGCTAAAAATGCCTCAAATGATTAAGGTCACTATTTTCATGTACCACGACAAACTGTCAACGAAACCATACAGCACTCTTAAAAGTATAGAAATGTTTTCAATCAGATAGCAGACACTGAATTAAAGCAGAAACATTTGAAAAAGCAGAAATATTTGAAAAAGCTCAGTTTGTTTCAAGCAGACAAAGAAAGTTAGTTAGCAGGTCCAAGAGGTGGAACGGGTGAGCTTAGGCTTAGAGATCTTTTTGTCCTCCTCGAGGGATACTAAGAGAAGATTGGATGGGTTCTCAATCATGAGTTTGGCAACCAGATAACCTGTAATCGACCATGTCTGAAACTTCCTTGCCTGCTTTCCAACGTAACGCCCGCTGATCCCATCATAGTATTCTGGCCATCCATCTTTCTCAAGCCTCTGCTCCACCAACTCTATTGCTCTCTTTGCTATTTGTGGCCTCCCAGTTTTTATGCTTGCTGCTGTCAGTAGCCATAGCAGAACTGCCAGAACCGATAACACATCAATCAATACCCAATCGTTAATCAGGCTGTATGTATATTGCTTTTCAATTCAATATATAATGAATCATGACATGCATCCTATCTGAGTTTGTAAACACCGATATTGCAAATACGAACAATTAAATAAAATCAGGTACGTACTGCTGGCATAATATGTTAAATCTTTGTTTTAGAAGTAATAACAAGATTGATGAATGGTTTGCATAAAAATGTGCATATAACAAGTGAGTTGAGATGATTAACCTGGCCAAGAACCACCATTGTGATAACTCCATCTTGTGTTCTTTGGATCACATCCAGTTACCGTATTCCATTCATGCCCTTCAAGTGCAGGATACACAATTTTCAGGGGCATCTCCCCAATTAAGGCTTCCCATCGCTCCTCAATCAAATCCATCACAGCCGTAGCCTGTGCTGGTGTTGCCAAACAGCTCAAGATAGCAATGCAGTTGCCAAGCAAAAACCACCTAAAATCCATTCGAGCTGGGCTTACATTGCCGATGAAATACCCTCCTCTCAGGGGCATAAACTCAAACAACCATTCAGGGATTGACTCGGGAATGACATTGAACTTGTTGACAGCAGTGTGAGAATATTCCTCAGTCTTGTACCGATAGATGTTGTTCAGCTGAGTGAAGTCAAGCCAGTAGTAATTCTGTATGTGGTAGCTCAGAGCGGTGATCCGTTTATCAATGCGCTTGAGAAATTCCTTATTATCCACATGCTCTGGTTTAAGCAACTGTTTTGCACACCTCAGCGCAAAAAAGAAGAGGGCCTGGATCTCAATCGGATACCCATAAATCCCCTGTCAATAATGGAAACAAGAATCTAAATCAATCCAAATAAAATTATTACTATAAAAGAAATGTAGAGATTCAAGGTTTACCATGCGCCTGTCTATCATGCTACATCCATCAGCACATAAGAGAGTAGGAAATGTATCAAATCCATCTGACAGACAGAGATTAAGTATCAGTCTAATTCCTCTCTGCACCTCAGGCAACTCCGAAAGAGAATAATCATGTGTGCGTTTAGTATACGATCGCAACAATATAATCCACCAGAATCCAGAATCGACAGGTGCAACCCTTCCGATGGCAGATCCTCCAAAATCTGCTTGTAGAACCTCCTTCTGGCGAACGGGATCATGGAAAACCTTGAAGCTGGCAGGCATTACACCTTCTCCAAGAGTAAAGTTGTCGATTCTCTTCTCCCAACCTTGAAGGTGGAGGGTCTTCAACAGAAAATTCTTCACTACGTCTGAATCTGGATTGGTTTTCATCAGACATGCCAGCGCAGACGGGAAAAAGTCTCTCACAAAAACCTGCTCGGTCGTGATAGAAGCTGTCAGCGCTGTTCTAATTTAGTACTGCACTGAACTACACAACTGAACAGCTTTCAAAGTTCATCATGCAATTTAATAAGCATTTTAAATTCAATAACTTAACACCATTTACAGTTCGTAATAATCGGAGACCGGAATTGAAACAGAGAACCACCCCAATAAAAAATTATGATGCATGGGGAGTAAATATTCACTCTAACAAAATAAGACATAGAAAATTAAGTGAAATTTCAAAGGAAAAAAATAAATTGAACACATGTATTGTAATGGAAAATAAGGGGAGATCTATGAAGAAAAACCGAAAAGAACAGCAACTGAAATCAATTACAAGGGCAACATGCATCGGAATAACAGTACTTTTCGCTAAACATTTTTGAACAGCTAATTGGATTTATAAATTTCACAAATCGAAGTTATATATAGATCTTCTCTGAATAATCACAGTCGTATAATGTGCAGTAAGTTGATTAGAGAACAAACATGTTGCTGGTTAAACGATAAAATTATCTCAAGGAAAAAAGCCACACACACACACACATACCAGCTGAACATGTAAAGGTGCGGATGGAAATACATACATAAATGCGCGTTTGACGAGATTTACGAATTTACATAATCGCATGCTGTATCGATACCTGATTGTAATTCAGGATCTCCTTGACACTTTCCTTCGTATCGCTTTGCTTGGTGTCACTTTCCTTCGTATCGCTTTCCTTTTTATCACTCTCCTTTGTATCAATTGCGGCGATTGTACCAACAGGTTGTCCTCTGTACGCAATGAAGGCTTTGGCGAGTTGCGACCACGCCTCATCCATCATCGAAGTTGCTGAGCCATTTTCCAGGCCATCGTTCTTTCCAGATCCGCCGATCGGCACTTCCAGAAAATCCTCCAGGATACCCATTCCTAAGCTAGGAGAATGTTTCAGTAGCGAAGTCGTCTTAACTCCTCCGCCATTACCGTTTTCAGGCACCAAATCGGAGTCTCCATTCTCTGCTCCGACGGAGTTGGTAATGCTCTCCGAAATCGAAAACGTATTGTCCTTGTCGAAGCTCCCGCTTTTATCGTCGGCGTTTTCTGACTTAATGGAACAGACTGGAGGATTTACGACGCCATTCCAAACATCCCTGAGTGTTTCCAGAGGTTCGGTCTCCGGAATTTCAATTTTCAGCTGAATCGTATTTTCCGGCGAGGTTTTCTGGTCGGAATCATCACCGGAGGTTTCGGTTACAGGCGTCGGAGACATTATGTGAAGAGAGAGAAACTAAAAAACTGTTGAGATTTAAGTGAGAGAAAATATGAAGAAGTACGGGTTATGAACACACAGAGAACGCAGTATTTATGAGGGGAGTGGAGTTCGAGAAATCAAAATTATTTGCAGCGGTATATAACAGTTTCTCTACGGTTTAGTTGTGTACACTTTGGGCTGATATACACTATATACACTAAAGTCGCTAAAAGAATCATCACGACTCAGAGACTCGTGGACGATGCAACTTCACGATTCGCAGGGAGGATAAATGGAGAGAATGCAGGTAACATCACGTGTGATTTTCGTTATTGGCGGTTAAATGCAGGAGGGAGAATTTGAGAAGTCTGACGCTTGGATCAACTTCGCCCCTAATATTTGAAAATAATGACGGGAATGCCATTTCCCTTCTTTTAGTGGGCTTCACTGGTCTTGGGCTTCACTAGTCTTGGGCTTAACTTTGCATGATTTGATAGTTGCAAATTTAAATAAAAAATGATTATTTCAATTTTCAGCACGACACTAATACTACAACATTTTAGTAATAATTATTTTCATTAACAATTTGACTTAATAATTACCATTATTATATTAGTATTAAAATTTTATTAATATCTTTTAATAGTAACGAAAAATTCATAAATTAAGTGTATTAACAAATTAAAAATAGTGTATTTTTTAATGACAAATTTCACTTCTTCCCCAGACGACAATGGAAGAGGCTTCTTCCCCGCCACCGTCACTCGATATCACATCCCACCTTCCGCTCCAGTTGATCAAATCCGAGACAATTCCACCTGCCCCGACCCGCTCCGGTACCGCATCCGGGCCCATCGCCGATTTTCTACCGGAATTCTCCGGGCACTCATGGATCGCATACGGAGCCTCTTCTCTTCTAGTGATCTCTCACTTCCCAAACCCTTTATCGGAGGCCGAAACAAAAATTGGCCCTATTTATCGGCAAGTAATCGAGCTATCTCGGCAGCCTGCAGATCATGTCTCCGCAGTGTCTTGGTCAAGTGCCACACCTTCCGTCGGTGAGCTCGCCGTGGCATTGGGTGATTCTATAGTGTTGTTCACATGTAATGAAGATGAAACTTCGAGCAGTAAGTCCGAACTCTATTGCTTTTCCTTTTTTCCCGACTTGTGTTATTATTTTGATTTTTTCTGTTAAGAATTAAGATGGTGTATTTTGAGAGCCACTGTTTCGTTTAACTAAATTAGAACTGAAACCTTCGAGTTAGATTTATGGAGCTGGAATATTTCGGATGATCCAGATGAAATTCGACGCATTAGATCATTAAATATATTCTCCATCTCCCCTTCGATCGATACTTAGTGTACTGGAGTTTCTATGGTGTTTGAAATGTGAAGAATGGCAAACTATTGCTAATCCTCTCTTTCACTCTCAATCCACCCCCCCCCCCCCCCCCCAAACAACTCACACACACACACACACACACACTCTTCTCATGTTACATGATGCGGAACCTTTTAATTAGGTTGACTTATATACTGATAATAACCATCCTATGTATTTCATACCTTAATATGAAACACATGTTTATGCTATCTATTTAGGTTGGAGTTAAATGCATTTAGCCACCTAATGAGTGCTTTCTTTACTTCTGGCAACCTGCAATTTACGTCCACCCACCTTCCCTCTCTCTCTTTCTCTATAGAATATGAACTTATTTACTGAGATTCAGGTTCTTTTTGTTGGAGCCAGACTGCTATACTCGTGCAATCCGTGAAGGTGGAGGCTATCCAATGGACAGGTTCCGGAGATGGAATAATCTCAGGAGGCATTGAGGTGGTAATGTGGAGAAGGAAGCAGGAATCATGGGAAATAGCATGGTCATTCAAACCAAGAGTTCCTCAAGCTCTTGTCTCTACCACCTGGTCCGCTGATGGGTTTTCGGCGACTGCACCTTGGAGTGAAGTTCAAGTAAGAGTTTCATCTTCTCCATCCAACGATGCAAGAAAGTGTGTTTTAGTTTATCAAGGCGACAGCCATTCTCTATACCCACAAGCTGAGCTGCACCATCCAATGCCTGTTAGGATGATACAGTGGAGACCATCAACAGGGAAACCATCAAGTAGACCTGTCAGGCATGCACTGAGGCCGGTCTTGTTGACTTGCTGCCTTGATGGAGCTGTTAGGTTATGGGGTGAATTTGATGACGGGAGGACTAAAAGAGCTGGAAAGGATAACATCACAAAGTTATCTTTTTGTGTCATTGCTGTAATCGAGGTTAACCAAACTCTCAGTGGTACTTTTGGCTTCGATATCTTTCTAAATTGGGCTGTGGAAGTTGAAGGCGTGGCAGTTATTGGTGAAGAAGTTTGCTATTATTCATGCTTAGATGATCTTCAACATGATACTGCTGGTAGTTGTGAGTGGTTAATTGGCTTTGGTCCTAAGAGAATAACAACCTTGTGGACTATTCACTGTCTTGATGATTTTGCTCCAGTGAGATTCCCAAGGGTTACTTTATGGAAGAAGCATGATCTTGCCAGTTTTGAAATGGAAGCAAGTTTGCTCATCCCTAAAGTTTTTATGATGAGGACTCGAGTTTCTGGCCCGCCAGTGATGTGCTGTTTGGTTCAATTATTATCAAGCAATTCTTTTGCCTGGACACAGTTATATTCTCAAGCATCAACTATCATAGAAGGAAAATCTGCTAATGGCAGTCATACTGAAAGTCCTTTGACTGATTGTGCCAAAGGAGTACTAGCTGTTGAGGGTCACACTGGAAACCTTTTACAAATAGCATTTCATCCCTTTTCTTTTGAGGTTGAACTTGCTGCTTCTTTAGATAGAAATGGAATGCTTATTTTCTGGTCATTTTCAACCTTTTTCAACAGTCATATAGGCTTGCCAACTTCAACTCCCTCCTTGAAAATATGTGGAAGAGCTTCTGTTTCTGATCACTCTCCAAATTATACATGCTTGAGCTGGGCTCCCACATTGCTTGGTAAGGACCAAGTTCTTCTTATGGGACATGCTGATGGTATCGATTGCTTTATTGTTAAGACTCCAAAAAATAATGAAGAGAAAGTTGATTTTCACAGTTTATGCTCTATTCCCTTCAGGATTGAAGGTCAAGAACAAGGGCTAAGCAGAGTTTGCTCAATCCCTTTGCCTTCTAGCTGTAGTGGAAATTTGGTTTCGAGTAAATTTCTGCTCGTAGCATTATGGATGGAGAGTTTTCAGGCTTTATCATGGGAAATATCTATCCATTGTCATGATTTGCAAGGAAGCTGTTTCAATGAGCATTTGCAAACATTTGAAAGCTATTTTTCTGGTAAGCGATACTCTGTATCATTGGATCCTTGTTCGTCAGTTTTTCCTGTTCCTCACAATGATGACAAGGTTACAAGTTGTGCTGTTGTCTGCCTGAATGAATTGGTTTTACCTGTAGAGGAGCAGCTGTCTGCCGAAGACTTCGGCAGCTGCTTCTATCCATATCACATGATAACTGGTTGCAGTAATGGCAGTTTAAAACTGTGGAGGAGCATGCCAGCTCAATCCTTGAGCTCAGATACAAACTGGGATCTTGTGGGTATGCTTAATTCCGAGCAAGGTCCTGTCATAGCAGTATCTGCTAGCTCTTGTTGTAGAAAGATTGCAACAGCAACAACAACCAATAACCCAAATTATTCTAATACAGTTAGCATATGGGAATGCATGCACTTCCAGAGTGCAGACAGCTTCATGTTGGAAGATAAACTATGTTTTGATGGGGAGATTGTTGCTATAAATTGGCAGAGGTTGGGAAATGGTCAGTTATTACTTGCAGTTTGTTTGCGGAACGAATTGAGAATATATGCTTCGAGACGCCGTGGGGGTCAAGATATTTTGAAATGTGAAAAGCCTTTGGAAGTAAATGCGTGGATCTGCATTGCAGTTAATAGTGCTTTGCCTGCTATTTCTGACTTTCTCTGGGCCCCTAAAGGCACAGCGATCACTGTTCATGACGAGTATTTCAGTCTTTTCAGCCACTTATTATTATCAGATACTGCTGGCTCCAACAAAACCATGCTATATCCATTTTTTGTCGACTCTGAAATACCACCGATGAAGATTATTAGAGGACAATATCAGCCGCAGGCCTATGTGAAGATGAAAAATGATGAATTTAAGTCAACTGTAAATGCTGAAAGCTATCAAGCAATGCCCGACTTACTTCCGAGAATTCGTTTCTGGAGCATGTCAGATATGGCAAAAGTCATAGGAGGATCCCTGCCTTTATTTCACCCCGAGGCACTTTTGATAAACTTGTCTTCAGGTACTTTTGGCTGGTTAAGACCATTTAAAGTTATCAATCTTTTTTTTTTTTTTTTTCCTCTCTTTTTTGTGTTTTCACTTTGAACTGCTCAATGGTGTACTTAATGCTTAACTGGGCACCGCGGAACAGTGTTAAATGACACAATCACATATCTATGTACTTTTTGAAACCAAAATAAATCTGAAAATTACAAGATACTGTTTGCATGATAAGTTTGGTGGGTCTTAAGTTATCAAGACACATGGCAATCCCTCAAATATATGACAAACAATTTAATTTTATTTTGGAAAGTACCAGGTCCACTTCAAAGTTGAATTTTTCGTTTTCTGCTATTTCTTTACCAAATTGTTTTATGTCATTAGGTAACTGGAAACGTGCATTTATAGCTTTGCGCCATCTCATTAAGCACCTTGCTTCTAGCAATTTGTCTAAACAAGGACACGGTGCTAAAATGTCGAGCAATATTATTCCTCCAGTTCCCTTGTCATATTATCTTGAAGGGCCTATCTTATCTGGTTCAACTGATAAATCATTTGAATGGAGCAGTTCGCAACTTCAAACAGGGTCATTGCACTTTGCATCTAGCGGTGGTTATGATGCACCTGATACTGCTTTGACTTCATCGTCGTCAAGATCTGAATTTAATGACTTCATCGAGTCTCTTGAGAGGTTGTATAATTATAAACACATAACTAAAGTTGAAAAGATGCAGGCTCTTGCCCTAATTAATCTTTTACAAGAAGTTAGTAATCCTCAATCGACTTCTGCTTATGGAAGCCTTGATGAACCTGGTAGGAGGTATGTTTAGATTTTGTAAATTTGTAGACCCTGGTTTTTAATTTATCCTGCTGATTTTGGCGAATGATGGGCTCATAAGAAACTAATTTGTGTGATTTGTTGATTCCTGGGTACAATGTTTTTTTTTTTTGGATAACTACTTTTACAGATTTTGCTTATTGAGATGATGGTAGTTCTTTTATTAACCTGGAAACATTTTTCTTTGCAGATTCTGGGTTGCTGTGAGGTTTCAACAACTATATTTTGCCCAAAGATTTAGTAGGTTGCCACTAGTGGAAGAGTTCGTTGCTTCTTCAGGAGTTATTGGATGGGCTTTTCATTCAGATTGTCATGACACTTTGTTTAATTCTCTACTATCAACAGAGCCATCTTGGGAAGAAATGCGAAGTATGGGTGTTGGATTCTGGTATACAAATGTGTCACAATTGCGAGTGAAGGTACAGTGTGGATCAATGTTAAAATTGAACTAAATGCGTACATTTTCATTTGATATGCATGGTAATTCTAAGAATATCAGCATAAGAACAGTTTGATGTGGTTTGAAAGCATATATTTTGCTGCAGATGGAACGGCTGGCCAGACAACAGTATATGAAGAAGAAAGACCCTAAGGCCTGTATACTTCTTTACACTGCATTAAACAGGTTACAAGTTTTGGCTGGCCTGTTCAAAATAAGCAAAGATGAGAAAGATAAACCATTGGCTGGATTTCTAACTAGAAACTTTCAGGTACGAATGAGTCTTTTTTCAATTGTCCTTTAGTTGGAATTTGATAGATGTTTTTAGAATTATGTACCTTGTCTTTTATGGCATGTCACCAACTTAAGTCCAGCTTAGTTGTTAAATTTAGTTACAAGAAATTGATGACAAATACTAGACTAACAAACCGGCCTATTTTATGGCCATTTAGAACTCAAAGTGAATGAACTCTGCAATTTTACATTTGGCTATCTCAACTAGTCACCATCTCAAGTAGTCATATGTTTATTATAATTATTTTTTTCAAAAGATGTCCTGGTAATGAAGTTTTACATATTTATCGCAGAAATTTCTATTTCTCGAAGATCTTACTGAACCTTGTCTTTTAAATGTGAATTTGGTTCTCAAATGCAACTACCTGGTTTTCTGTTGAACTTGTTTGTTATTTAAGGATGGTTCTAGAGAACTGCAACATCTTGTCTTTAATATAAACAAGTTTTCTCGATTTCACCTCTTTACAGGAGGAAAAAAATAAGGCAGCAGCTTTAAAAAATGCTTACGTGTTAATGGGAAAACATCAGCTAGAGCTTGCAGTAGCTTTCTTTTTGCTTGGAGGAGATGCATCTTCAGCTGTTTCATTCTGTGCTAAAAACCTTGGAGATGAACAGCTTGCCCTTGTAATTTGCCGTCTTGTAGAGGGGTATGGTGGCCCACTAGAATGCAATCTTATTTCGAAGTTTCTCCTCCCATCTGCATTATCAAAAGGTGACTTTTGGATGGCCAGTTTTCTAGAGGTAGGGGCTTGTGATATTCTTTTCAGCATGAAAACATATTTCACTTTGTATCCTTTACTCTTATGTTGGTCAATTGATGGCTCATATTTTTTTTTGCAGTGGGTATTGGGAAATTATTCTGGATCTTTTTTTAGAATGCTTGGTGTTGAAATGGGCTCCGAGGTTAATATTTCTGTTCTTTCGTCTGCTCATGCTTCTTTTCTGGATCCAAGCATTGGCCAATATTGCCTCATGTTGGCTACAAAGACTAGCATGAAAAATGCTATTGGGGAAGTTAATGCTGCTGTTCTATGCCAGTGGGCAGCTTTGATGGTTGTTACCTCCTTTAGCAGATGTGGTCTACCTGTAAGTTAGTCTTATCTTGGCTGAATCTATTTGATTGACTAATCTTGCTGACTTTATAACTTGAGGCTGTAAATTTGGTACGAAAGTATTGTTTGACAATCCATATACATTTGCTTTGAGATTCATCCCTTGCTATGAGCTGCTAATGCTATTATAGAAACTATTCTGTTGTGAAGTTTTTGAATTAGTAGTCTATTCCTCAAATTACTCTTAAATATCATTTAACGTATAGCATGAAAAATTGCTATGAGCTGCTAATGCATTATTCCCTCTGATAAGGATGAATCTGAATGTTAAGAAGGATGTTATTTTTTTATCTATTTATTTTATTTTATTTCTATTTTTCTTGGCAAGCTCGAAGCACTGGAGTGCCTTCCTTCATCTGTTAACCTCATTGGTGGGTCTACTCATGGGAGAATGGTGCATAACCCAACCTACAGTCTCCCCGTTGAAATGGTGAAATCATATAAAAGCTCCTCAAACTGGATATCAGAAGGGATGTATTGCCATGCTATATCGCATTGTAAGTTGTATTTGGCCATGCAGTACATATCAAACATGTTAAGAGAACATCCAAGCTGTAACACCAATAGGCCATCTTTTGGAGTATTTATAGAAAATGAGATTGAAAGTCAGGGATTTGAGAAATCACTGAAGGACTTTGAAGACAATTTGAATACAGATATTGCATATCTCCAGCAGAAATTCTCTTTGGTTACCCGACGTTTAATTAGCATGGTAACTATTGTTGATGATAGTAGTTTGGTGCATTCTCATTTTATTCTACGGGATTATCTAATAATTCCTGTTTTTTGTACACAGGTTGTATTATCTTTGCACCATAATGGTTTAGGGTTTATTGGACACCATATACTGCAAGATTATTTTCCGGAATTTCAATCTCAAGAAAAGAGTATTCGGCCTGATAATTTACTTTTGTGTCGATCTAATCTCCTATTAAAAGCTACTGAAGAAATCTACTGCTTGTATGTGAAATATGTTATTACCGCTTGCAGAAAGTGCTCCAGCTCGAAATATTTTATAAGGAATAGTCTTGCTGGTGAAGGGCTTGCTTCATGGGGTTTTTCTAATCAGGGAATGGAATGGGCATTTTGGTGTCTAAGAGCTATGTTTCAGTTGTTTCTCAGATCCTACTCCAAGGATTATTTGAAGTTACTTTTTTCTGTTCTTAGTTTGTTTGAATACCACATACTTTTTGCTTCAGTTTGGTTTCAAAAGAATTTCAAAGCTCTTCTTGTAACTATTAGACCTATTTTGCTCTCATTAATGAGGGAGAGTGGTGCTTATGAGATCAAGATGGAGGATTTGAATAGAGTTATTGCGGACATTGTAGGGATGCTTGTTCATGATCCACTGTGTGTTGACTTAGATACACTTGCTGAAATCAATGGACAAAAGCAAGAACAAAGTGGAGCAGTTCCAGACCACGTGAAGATGTATATTATGAGCACTTCTTTGTGGGTGCATATGTCTAAACTTTTGGAACATCAATTAACTAGATTATCCGAAGTGCTTAATGAAAGTTGTTCTTCCCCATCCCTGCCTGTATTAGAGTCCAACAACAATGAACTACAGTTGTCAAGCCCTTTGGTTGAGTTTCTAAAGCTCAACTGTGCAGATATTTCCTTCTATTGTTCGAAGCAGTTTGCTACATACCTGCTTCGAGAAGTAAATTTGTCAAACAGAACTGACCTTTTCTACTTGGTAGATAGTCTGTTTCAACGAGGAGCCGAAGATCAGATGGGTGGAAATAGAAAATTGTTGGACAATTTAAACAAGTCATTGGATTTTGAACAATTATGGCATATTTGCACTGATCGAAAAATAATTGGTGGAGCTCTTTTGCCCGAATACCGTAATTGGCTACTTTATTTCAAGCAGAAGTCATCTAGTGGATGGAATGATGCATATTTAACTATCACAAGAGAGTTTGAATCCGAGGAAACTGGGGATAAAGAAGATAGACTTGATGATAGTCCTAGTCATGCAAGTGGATCACCTTTAGCATGCCTATCTCCAGATGATCATCCTTTCAAAACTTATGGTGACAAAGATTTACATGACTCAAAGAGGATTATTCCTTTTCAAAATCCGAAAGAAATATATAAGAGAAATGGAGAACTTTTGGAGGTACCTCTTGTATTGCATTCTCACTATTGTTAAATCTTATGATTGCATTGGCTTTTCCTCACAGTTATAATGTTGGAACAGGCCTTGTGCATAAACTCCCTTGATGAATGCCAAGCTGCAATTTCTAGCAATAGGAAGGTAAAAATATACTTCTTGATCTGGTTATATGTTGCTTCTAAGGTCTAGTAACATTACTGCTACACACGCTCTGATTACTATTTTAGGCTGTCCAGTACATCATTGTTAAAAAATATTTGCCGGTGGTTATTTTAAAGATTTTCTGCGTATTTGGAAAACAATGGATGTTTGTTATTTTAGTTTATGGGGAAAAAGCATTAAGCCATCCAAAGTATTGTGATTAATTTACATACTGTCATTTGGGTTATGAGATTTGAGAATGTTTTGGTCAATGGCGATAGTGAAGGTATCCGCTTGATTGGGAAGGGTAGCAAATGTGGCTATCTCCTCTTAGTTTGCATTACTACGAACCCTTTGAAATTTCTGAATCTTCTGACAACTTCTTCCTCTGATTAATCTTCAACTTCTTGAATTTTTCTTGGAAAAATGTCTCTCAAAGACCTATGTTTGGTTTCACATGAAGTGGTGTTCTAAACTTTTATTTTTCATCATGCTGTCATTTTGATTAATATTTTATCTGTTGGTGCGTTGAAAAATAATGGTTCCTTGTTTAGTATTCAGTCATGCATATGTTATTATTTCTCAATTCAGGGGATAGTATTTTTCAACTGGGAAGATGGTGATCTATCTAAAGATAACTCTGAATATATCTGGGGAGAAGCTGACTGGCCCCATGATGGGTGGGCAGAGTCTGTGTCTACCCCAGTTCCCACATATGTTTCTCCTAGTGTGAGCCTGGGGAGTAAGAATAGTGCACAACTTGGGTTTGGTGGAGCTACAATAGGTTTAGATGCATCGGCAAGACCTGGTAAGGATATAACAGGTGGTGGAGCCTTTGGTATCCCGGGTTATGCTGGTGTGGGAGCATCCAGCCTTGGTTGGGGGATCCACGAAACTTTTGATGAATTTCTTGATCCACCTGCAACAATGGATAATGTCAGGACAAGAGCATTTGCTTCTCATCCATCTAGGCCTATGTTCTTGGTTGGTTCTAGCAATACCCATGTATACCTGTGGGAGGTAATAATTTCATATCGTAAATCATCATCATTTTGATGTCTTTCGCATGCATAATATATAGCCTGTTGCATGCTCCATGCTACTGCTATACATATTTTCTGCAGAAAAATAATAGAAAATATGATGACTGACAGTTTGGCAAAGACAAAGCTACTTCTACATATGGTGTACTTCCGGCTGCAAATGTCCCTCCGCCATATCCCATTGCATCTGTCTCAGCAGTGCGACTTGACCACTGTGGACACCGATTCGTGACCGCTGCATTAGATGGAACTGTGTGCACTTGGCAGCTTGAAGTCGGAGGAAGGAGTAATGTTCATCCTACAGAATCTTCTGTCTGCTTCAACAATCATACTGCGTATGTAATCAATCTAGTGAAATAGCTGCATATGGCATCTACACTTTCACTTTTATGATACTATCAACTATCCTCTGAGCTGGTGTCTAGTTCATTGAAAATTTGTTTCACACTTTGTTACTTGATAGCCAATTATTATTGTGGTTTGCAGGTCTGAACTCATACTCGAGTTTCCTTATAATTATATTTTGTGGTTGTAGGGATGTGACTTATGTTACGGCAAGTGGATCAATTGTTGCTGCTGCTGGGTACAGCTCCAATGGTGTCAATGTTGTCGTGTGGGACACACTCGCTCCTCCAGCCACGTCTCGAGCTTCAATAATGTGCCATGAAGGTATATAATGAATTCATGATTAAGGAATTCCTGCTATTCCTATTATCCAATAGGTCCATTCTTGTAAGATTACTATTCATTGTCTTGTGTTAGGTGGGGCCCGCTCCCTGTCTGTTTTTGATAACGACATAGGAAGTGGTTCTATATCTCCTCTTATTGTAACTGGCGGGAAAAACGGTGATGTTGGGCTTCATGACTTCCGCTACATAGCTACAGGAAGGACAAAGAAACAGAAGCATTTGGAAACTGGGGAAAATAACACACACGCTTCATCTTCTGTTGATCTGCGGACCAAAACAGGGGACCAAAATAGAAACGGAATGCTTTGGTACATACCAAAGGCTCACTCTGGTATTATCACTGATTTATGACTTGAAAATAATTGTTCAAATATGAATACATAACTTCAAATTAACATACTTTGTTTCTGCATGAAGGGAGTGTCACGAAAATATCCACAATCCCAAATTCAAGTTTTTTCTTGACGGGGAGCAACGATGGAGATGTAAAACTTTGGGATGCAAAGAGGGCCAAGCTAGTATTTCACTGGCCGAAACTACACGAAAGGCACACGTTTCTACAATCTAGTTTTGGTGGAGTTGTCCGGGTAATTACGAACCAGTCAATTTTAATTTAAAAAAAAAATGCTAGTCGCGTAAGTGTTCTTATGAAAGATCTAAATATCGTATCTCTGTTTTGCAGGCTGGAGTTACAGACATTCAGGTAGTATCTCATGGTTTCATTACATGTGGTGGAGATGGTCTTGTCAAATTTGTCAGGTTCCAAGATATCCCAATGGACACAACAATTTAAAATCCAGATCTTTTTTACTCCTTATTGTCAATTCACAAATTTGTTACTCCTGTTATTCTCGAGCGAATTATAATCAGCGTTCTACACACTGATATTTTCCACTTCAATGGGAATCGATAAAGAGTTTGATCTATTGTGGGCCTAACAGAATGTTCAGCTCCTTTCTGGAGGAGGAGGAAGTTTGGATCAACTGCACATGTCTCTTAATATTATCTGTTGGGTTATAAGGTCATTAGCTGAAGTATTAGATAAGTTTTGTAAATTATTTCAACTCGAATGTGAACAAAACTTTTGTTCTTTTGATAAGTGAAGTACTGGAAACTTTAATCGAAAGTAACGAACTATTTAATCGAAAGTAACGAACTATTTGGTTATCTCACAAGTTTAATCATGTCTTATAAAAATCACACATTCTTTTAGGGCCTCGTTTGGTTGCCAAGATAAGATTAGCCAAGATAAAATTAAATAATCTAATGAACCCCGATTGTATTATTGGACTTTGGAAGATCCAATAAAAATCATTCCTAAAAGGCAAGATAAGGTATGATAACATAATATTTGCGGGTCGACCACGTAGGTTATAGGGGATACCAAACACCAAACAAAGTCCCATTATTTAGTTAATCATGGTTAATCTCCCCAACCAAACGAGGCCTTAGATTATTAACCATTCATATCAGACTGTCATAATTTGAGTTCATCTGCTTTGTGATTGGTTTGATTTAAGGATTTGGATCAAACTTTCGTCTACACTGAAATGACCTGCACTTCTGGTATTTCCTTCTGATTTATCAGTTATATGTCACTTTCCAGTTGGTGGTTACCATATATATAATTAGTTAATGATACTGTACACAACAAAGGTTTCGTGGTGTAGTTGGTTATCACGTCAGTCTAACACACTGAAGGTCTCCGGTTCGAGCCCGGGCGAAGCCATTTTGTTTTTTTTTTCTCATTTCAACTTGCTAACGACGTCGTATCAACCCAAATGATCTCCCACCATTTTCAGTAAATTCTCAAACTCATCGTAATACTCAAATCGATTTCCCGCAGAAATTTATTACCCGTATCTACTTTTTTTTTTTTTTTCACCGAAAACCGTCGGCCGTTCAACGGAGGTGGAGAAAGACAAATGGAAAGCCGATCACGGCGGAGCTTAACCAGATCTAAGGCTGACCTGCCGACGTCACTGCGCCGCGCCTGGTACCATCTGAGGCTGTCGGTTCGGGATCCGACCCGCGTACGAACTTGGGACGCCATCGTATTGACGGCGGCCAGCCCCGAGCAAGCGGACCTGTACAACTGGCAGCTCAACCGTGCCAAGCGAATGGGCCGCATTGCGCCGTCCACCATTACTCTGGCTGTTCCCGATCCTCACGGCCAGCGCATCGGCTCCGGCGCTGCCACTCTTAATGCCATTTTTGCTCTCGCCAAGCACCTCCACCAGCTCTCGCTGATCGATTCACCTGTATGTGTAATTTAAACTATGAACTATTGCGATTTTCATTTGTCGATAGTTATGTGTAGTAATTGATCTCCGATTATTGAAATCATCCAAGTTACAATGCTCCGTTATCTGCTATCTGATTTAGGGAATGCTGCCGTTCCTTAGTTAAAACTCAAAAACATTCTAATATTGAAATTCCGCTCAATCAGGTAGCAGGCTCAAGCAAACAAAACTCGGATAATGAAATTCCGGTCCAACAACTAGTTGAATTAATCAGGAAAAAACATATCCTACTGCTTCATGCTGGAGGAGACTCCAAGAGGGTCCCGTGGGCTAATCCAATGGGGAAAGTTTTCCTTCCTCTTCCATATATGGCAGCAGATGACCCTGATGGTCCAGTTCCTTTACTCTTCGATCATATTCTTGCAATTGCTTCTTGTGCGAGACGAGCTTTTCACAACGAAGGTTAATTGTTTTCTCTGTTATTATTGTATGAGATATTATCACATGTTGCGGTTCTTGTGGCTAACGTTCTGTTTGTTAAGGAGGTTTCATTGATAAAAGGGAATACTTCTTAAATTACAGGCGGACTGTTCATTATGACCGGAGATGTTCTTCCTTGTTTTGATGCTTTCAGCATGGTTCTCCCAGACGATACAGCTTCTATTATCACTGTTCCGATAACTCTTGATATTGCTGCCAATCATGGTGTCATTGTGGCATCCAAGTTTGGGTCATCGACTGATGCTCATTCAGTTTTCTTGGTCGAGGATTTGCTTCAGAAACCTAGTGTAGATGATCTTGTTGACCGCCGAGCAATTCTAGATGATGGCAGAACATTACTCGACACTGGAATTATAGCAGTCAAAGGTACAGCGTGGGTAGATCTTGTGATGCTTGCTTGTTCCAGTCAACCGATGATATCAGGACTTTTGCAAAGCAAAAAAGAGGCAAGTTACCTGTTTCTTGATTGTCTATTTCTTGTTTATTATAACCAATTTCTGCATCTCCACAACATGACTTCGACAAAGTCTCCTGTCTTTGATATTTTTGGGACTCCAGGTCTTTAGCTTCTCTGGACATTGTTCACATCTTCTGCCATGTGCAGGTGAGTTTATATGAAGATCTGGTGGCAGCATGGGTGCCTGCTAAGCATGAATGGTTGAAGGGACGCCCTTTGGGTGGAGAACTTGTCACAGCACTCGGGAAACAAAAGATGTTCAGCTATTGTGCATGTACGTTGAGTGGTGTTAAGATTACTATAAGGTTAACTAACAGATGCTTAAGTTCATGCCTCAATTTTTAATTTTTTTTGTTTCATATAATGCCGAACTTAATGTTCAGGCTGGGCATCACCTTTTTTTTCTGTGTCAAATTGTTCTTCCTGCTCATTTTTTGCAGATGATCTCTTATTCTTGCACTTTGGAACCTCGAGTGAAGTTCTGGATCACCTCAACGGTACTGGTTCTGGACTTGTTGGTAGGAGGCACCTGTGTTCCATTCCAGCAACCACTGTTTCTGACATTGCTGCCTCAGCCATTATTATATCGAGCAAAATAGCTCCAGGTGTCTCTATAGGGGAGGAATCCCTTGTGTACGATTCCTCGATTTCCACCAGTATACAGATTGGTTCTCAGTCAATAGTTGTTGGTGTGAATGTGCCCGAAGCCCAAAATATGGCAAATGAGACTTCATTCAGGTTCATGCTTCCAGATCGCCATTGTCTCTGGGAGGTTCCCTTGGTAGGACACACAGAGAGAGTAATAGTATACTGTGGTCTCCACGATAATCCAAAAATTTCACTTTCACAGGACGGAACCTTTTGTGGGAAGCCATGGATGAAGGTTTTAGGTGATTTAGGAATTCACGATGCTGATCTATGGGGTTTAAAGGAAAACAAAGACAAATGCTTGTGGAGTGCTAAAATATTTCCTGTTCTTTCCTACTCAAAGATGCTGCAATTGGCAACATGGCTTATGGGATTGAGTAACCAAGAAGATGAACACGTCCTACATTTATGGAAAATATCAGACCGGATCAGTCTAGAAGAGTTGCATAGATCAATCGACTTCTCAAAAATGTGGTTAAGCTCTACAAATCACCAAGCAGATCTTGCAGCAGGGATTGTTTCGGCTTGCCTTAATTTTGGCTTACTTGGCCGTAACCTATCTCAGTTGTGCCAAGAAGTTTTGCAGAATGATGTCTCTGGAATTAAAACTTGTAAAGAATTTCTATCAATTTGCCCTAGGCTCGAAGCTCAAAATCCTCAGATTCTTCCAAAAAGCAGGGCACACCAGGTTCACCGTGATCTTCTACGAGCATGCAATGATGAACAGATGGCTGCTGAAATAGACCACAAAGTCTGGGCTGCTGTTGCTGATGAAACTGCTTTAGCAGTGAGATACGGCCTTAAAGGTAATGGCATTATATCCTGCATTCACAATGCAAATATGAATTTATCCATAGAAGGAGCAATTTTAAGACGGAAATTTGTTCTCTAGATCTTGAAATCTCAGATAGGTCCTGAATGCCCTCTATATTAAATTTACGAATATTATTGGTTTTTGGATCCATTTATAGTTCACTTGTAACTTTCTCATTCCAATGCAGCTGACTCGTCTCACGATAGTCTTGTGCAATCTTTTCAACTCAAGAAAGTGAAGGTGGTGTTACCTGTTCGAGTAGATTTTGTAGGCGGTTGGAGCGACACTCCTCCATGGAGCTTGGAACGTTCTGGATGCGTACTGAACATGGCAATAACATTAGAAGGTTCTCTCCCTGTCGGCACAATTATAGAAACAACAAATAAACCCGGTCTGTCAATTAACGATGATGCAGGAAATGAAATATATATCGAAAATATTTCCTCCATCGCACCTCCATTCGACAGCAACGACCCATTTCGGCTAGTCAGATCTGCACTGTTCGTTACAAATATTGTAAACGATAATATTTTTCAATCCACCGGCCTGCAGATAAAGACGTGGGCCCACGTGCCACGTGGCAGTGGCTTGGGTACTTCCAGCATATTATCAGCAGCAGTTGTGAAAGCTCTTCTGCAGATAACCGATGGAGATGATAGTAATGAAAATGTGACGAGACTTGTATTGGTCTTGGAACAGGTTATGGGCACTGGAGGTGGCTGGCAGGATCAGGTCGGTGGTCTCTATCCTGGCATTAAGTTTACTTCAAGTTTTCCTGGAATTCCACTGCGGCTTCAGGTCAATCCCCTACTCGCTTCTCCTCAACTGAATAACGAGCTGCACCAAAGACTTCTTGTCGTATTTACTGGGCAGGTAATAAAGCCTGATTATTATTACCTTTTTTTCCTCCTTACCATTTTCGAGATGACTGTTTCGTTGTACACACTTAAGCCTTTTTTTTTTTTTTTTTAAAGTTTGCCTTATTAATGCCCATTTCAACAAGAGCACCAACCCCGAACCCCATTCTAATTGTATAGTTCAGTAACTTTTTTGACCGACTCGAAAGGCAGGAAAATTTGCTCTGATCAACTTTTATCTTGATTTTGTGATAAGTTGTGTTTTCGACTAGCCAAACACTAGAAAAGGTCAAAGTATATGATTAAGTATTAAGCATGCTATATCTTCCCAGCCAAATGAGGCCAGAGATGAGTACAGCCCGCCATGTGCTGTAGATATCTTTTGTATGTAAAATATATCTATATGGTTTATTGTGGTTGCATTTCCGAGGCCAACACCACTTCTCAAAAACCTACTATTTTATGTAAAGACGTGTAGTTTAGCATTTTCAAATCCCTAGGGTTTCTTTTTTATTTCTTTTTTATATTGAGCCCCGATTATGACTCGATCGATCAACTGGTTTGTTGTACTGAGTGATCGTGCAGGTTCGACTTGCACAAAGAGTGCTGCAGAAGGTGGTGATTCGCTATCTACAACGAGACAACCTACTTGTTTCGAGCATAAGGCGTCTCGTCGAACTGGCAAAGATTGGGAGGGAAGCTCTGATGAACTGTGACATAGATGAGTTAGGTGATGTAATGTTGGAGGCATGGAGGCTGCATCAAGAGCTCGATCCATTCTGCAGCAATGCATTTGTCGATAAGCTCTTTGCTTTTTCCGATCCATATTGTTGTGGCTACAAGCTTGTCGGTGCTGGTGGGGGCGGATTCGCATTATTGCTCGCTAAAACCGCGGAATCTGGTAAAGAATTGAGACGATTAATTACCGAAAATTCTGATTTTGATGTTCAGGTTTATGATTGGGAGATTTCTCTTTAGTTTTTGGCCAACTTATTTTGTGTATGAGTATAATATGCTGTTTGGTGATGTAAAGATAATTGTAATTTGTATCCATTTATTGAAATTCTGAATAGTGAATAATAATGGAACTACCTCCGACATACACGTGTCCCCATATTATTGGATGAACAAATTCTACGGCGTTAGATCCTTTCCTCACTGCCCAGAATCCTTGATCCTATGGGCACATTCTTGTTCATTTAAATTAGGGCATTCAATTTAACATAATTGGCTAATTGCAAACAACACATCTTAAATAAATAAATAATAAAGTTGGTGAGGTCGTGAAATGCTCAAATTTGTCTGCATTGTAATCAAATCTTATATTAATTCTTAGGATTTAGGAAGTGCCGAAAAGATTAGTTGGAAAATTGATGGTTCTTAATAATAAACAATTTGACTAAAAATATATTAGAGGGATGGGTCATAGACTGCTGTAATTATTATTCAATTGGACAAATAGACAATTATGATGATGCTTGTAATAGTGTGGTTTTCATGTGTCATTTTCACTACACTAAACGACGTCTCATCATTATTATCACAAAAATATCCAAATTTAAAAATAAAAAAAAGTGGTCCTTATGTAATTCATCCTTCCAAGCTATTGATTTGTAGAAAAGCTTTGGATCTTAACATATAAATGATTTTTCCATTGTGGAGTAGTTGATTTTACTATTTTCTAATATTTATAATAATTCGTATCTATAAAATAAAATAAAATATAAATAGCCTCCTCTTGTATAGGAACCGATAATAAGTCATTTTGATCTGATTTATTGGCCTTTGCGCCCACCAAAGATCAAACGGCAAGTATTTGGCTGGGCAAATACGACACCGTATGGAGTATACGACGACGTAGCACGTGAAAGATAGCGCCAAGGCAACAAAACCGACCGCAGTTTTTTTAAATACTGGAAAACAAAACCAAAACTGACAGATGAGCAAAGTTTTGCGTCTTTCTTTTTAGAGAGATCAACAAGATTTCATTCGGATCCAAACCCACTTTACCCATCTTCTCTCTCTACCCCTCTCTCTCTCTTATCCACTGCAGTTTTCAGGTTACTTTCTCTCTCTATCTCTCTCTCCGCTCTCAGTTTATTTATTGCTCGTGTATGGTTGATTTTGTGCAATGCTTTGTTTGATGGTTGATTTTTTTTTTTTTTTTCTTTTAATAGCATATTGATTTAATTAATCGCAGATATTATTTTGTTGATTTCAATTTAATCTATGATTGCGCTTGATTTTGGTTTTGCATGCGACGAATTTTAGTTTTCTGGTTGAATTGAGTTGAAGATTAACTTTGATTTTGCTGGTTAATCAAAATTGTGGTTTAATTTTGAATTGCATTAACCATCTCTGAGTGGTTGGTTCTTTCTTAATTGTTTATGTTTGAAAAATTAAACAGAAAGAATGGGTGAGTAATGGCATTAGCAGAAGCTAGGGCAGCTTGGCAGAGAACAGCCAACAGATGCTTAGTCCAAGAAGATGCTAAAAGAGCTCCTAAATTAGCTTATTGCTCTTCCATTAAACACCCCGATTATATCGAAATCGCTACTGCTTCTTCATCAGCCGACACCCAACATATTCCCAACACGCCTTTTAATCTCAATTCTCCGTACCCTAATTTATCCCCCAATTCGAAATGGTGGCTGCAGCAGCAGCAATCGAATTGTAGTACTAGTTATCAGAAAGGTTCGATGAACAGAAACGAACACTTCGAATCCATGGAAAGTAATACGGAGGATAAATTTGAAGTCGAATTATTGGATGTTGGAGATTTTGGGGTTTCGAAGAATGGGAATGAGGTTTATTTTAATGCGGAGTCGTCTTGGATAGGGTCGGAGAGGAATCGTCCGTGGTGGCGAACTGCAGATACGGATGAGCTGGCTTCGTTTGTTGCGCAGAGGTCGATTGGATGTATAGAGAATTGTGATCTTCCTCGGCCTCAAAATACTCGTATTAAAAAGAATGATGGAATTTCTTGCCAAAAGCTTATGTCAGCTGAGGGTCAATTAGTGTCTGATACAGACAAGCGATTAAGGTAATATTTTGGCGTTCTTTTTCATGGCAACTGCGAGGAACATAGTCTGCAGCTTAATTTTGTAACATTTAATTGAATTCATGCAGAGATATGAAAACCGATGAAAGGATGCATACATCGGAGAATGATATGAGCATGGCCCAACTAATGGAAGCACTAAGACATTCTCAGACACGTGCAAGAGAAGCCGAGACAGCAGCAAAACAAGCCTGTGCACTGAAAGACGATGTCATCAAGCTCATATTCAGACAAGCATCTCAGCTCTTTGCCTACAAACAATGGCTTCGACTTTTGCAATTGGAGAACATGTATCAACAGCTCGTGAACGACAAAAGAAAAACCCAGACAGTATCGGTTGTCTTTCCGATAATGTTGCCTAGCAAGCCTCGAAGTACTAGAAAACGGGCGAAAAGACGATCTTGCCCTCCGTGTGGTGTTGGAAGAAACGCGATTTTGTTTGCGTTGGGATTGGGATTGGTTGGGGCTGGATTCTTGCTTGGGTGTACTATAGGTTGGATGCTACCAACTTATTGGTGAAGAGTGCATGTCATAGGTTTATATATATATGTATAGCTTCTTGAGAATTTTGTGGATGTGGATTTGTGTGTATATATGTTCATTTGATCTTTCACTTTTTTCCTTTTTGGCCGATTTCTTGTACATAAGAATTATGTTTAAATTTTCGATTTTCTTGGATTTAAGTTTTTCCTGCTATCTTCATGCTTTGGTTTCAATTTTGCAAATATGACTTCATCGCACACACATACACACACGGTATGAAAAGGAAGTTATACACCAAAGGAAATACATATTAGATTTAGCAACCATTGTACATGTGTTCACAGAGCAAGCGTGAGAAAACACTCAAAAGTTCTTGAACTTCATTTTTTTTTTTGGGCATTGAATTCACTAATCCTTCAATGTTGGCCTTGTTTGTTTGATTTCTTGCTACTCTTCCATTGTATAACCTGCTTGAAACCTGAGCATATTGTTGCCTGAAAAAACAAAAAATTAACCAAGAACTAATTAATCTATCGACTATCAAGAACCAAGAGCTAAAATCCAATGATCAAACTGTTAAAACATTGGTAAAGAAATATTAATTAAGAGAAGCTGAGTATAAATTATACCCAGGTGAGTGGAGAAGAAGAAGACTTGGGAAGAGGGACACTTGAAAAGCTGCCATTTCTTCTCATCTCATCACTCTCACAGCTGCTTGTGGTGGTGGTGGAGAATGGTGAAAACCCGGAAATACCCCCGTTAAATTCCTTTTTTCCACCCTTGTCCTTGTTACCAAACAAGCCATATCTACGACTACTACTCTTCTTCTTGTTGTTGTTGTTGCTGCTGCTGCCAAACATTAATCCATATTCCAAAGTAGTATCATCATCACCACCATCACCAGGTGTACTAGTAGCGGAGTGCAGGAGGAACGAATCGTGGCCGTCCATAAAGAATCTGAAGGAAGAGCATTTGGGTCGGCCGTCGAGAACTGAGGTCGGAGATGGAGTTCTGCTCATCAACATCATTGGAGGGAGCTCCAATGATTTGGGTTCGGGTCGGGCGAGGTTGTGAGAACAGGGTCGGGGCTTTCCGGGTAGTTCCTCCCATTTGAAGGGAACTGAAGCCAGAGGTGGCGTCGCCGTCCCCGATGCATGCTCCGGCGAGTCCATGAATGATAATAATGTGGCTGCTGCAGATATGGGAAGCTTTAGTGTACGTGGTTCTTTCTCATTCTCTTCTCCCATTTTCCTTTCTTTTCTTTTTCTTTTTCTTTTTCTTTTTTCAGTGTGTTTTGTGTGTGAGGATAACTTCCTTAACAACGAAATGCAGAATGATGGGCTGCCCGCTTCTTTATTTATTTATTTATTATTATTTGAATGTGTGTGTGTGGAAGTAAGTGACAGAACCTCAACATCTGATTGAATGATGTAATGATTATTTTTCAACTTGTTTCTTTTTTTGGCTAAATATATATATACAGCATTGGATTCTATATATATATATATATGTGTGTATATATGGTACGTCAAATCAAATACTAGCAATTAATGTCAGAATTCGGATGTATGTATGCTACTCTAAATTTGCATTTACTGATGAATTTGAAATCAAAATAAAGGTAGAAAAAGGGATACTAATAATGTTATGTTATCTATCTTTCTCAATCATATATTTTCAAATTAAAGCTGGATTTGAAACACAAATACATACATGCAAAGGAGTTTTGGCAGTAAAAAGCATAAGATCCATGTACCCTTTCTTTTCTTTTTCTGGGCTGGTTTTGCCACATGAGATCTTTATTTTTCCTACTCCCTTTTTCATTTGAAATATGGGTTTCGGTTCAGTTCGTAAATCAATCGCTTTTGGCTAGTTTCGTATAATAAACGTCATCAATAGTATACTTTGGATATTGCATTCTCCCTTTTAGATTTCCCTTACGTTTAGTTTTCTATCCCATTTGCCTCTAGTCAATCATAGAAGTTGTTGCACAACGTCTGGAGCTTCCACGTCAAGATATCTGAAATGCCTGCAATGCCCTTCACTAAACGATTTTGTACTTTCTTTTCTTCTTCATTTTATCTATACAAATAACCAAACACCCATTGTCCTTCCTAATATATAATTGTAGTTTTCAAACATGTCCGAATCTTCCCAAAATTACGATAAAAGATCGGAAAGAAACATCATGCTCAACATTTTAGCCCATTTTCGCGCCATCGTAGCTCGGCCCATCTACATTGCTACCAATTGAGCTATTTGCCCCATGTCTGAAAAAATAGACGTATCTGGTGATAGTCAACAACCCTTGGTTGAAGTGCTAGGTTGTTGCTCTCATCACAATCATCGGCTATTTGTCGTCATTGGAATCACGAATAATGAAATTCTTAAAGAGTTTATTGATATTGTAGCACAAAAGTGTGGAACTACAGATCAAGATTTGTGGTTCGTGGTTCTTTAGTATCTAGCCCAGTGTGAAAGATTGTATGTGTTAGTGACGAGCGACGAATACAATGGTGAAGATGCATTTGATATTGAAGATCCACATTGTCGACATTATTGTTTCTCAAAAAGGCGATATCCATTACTGTCAAAACGACACCGACATAATCCGGTAATTCTTCACTTCCTCGTAATTAGTATGTACACGAAATACATAGTGTAGTTTATGTTAGAGTATATTATATTATTAGATATTATAGGATATTAGGATTCTATTATAATTCGATTACCTAGATTAGTTAGGATTTAGTTACCTAGTCAAACTCTACTACCTCATATTATTTCTTTCTCTATATATATTCCGTGTAAATCAACCCATAACAATCCAACTCTAGCATTTCGTGTAACATCCATGATATTGTATACTTACATAACATACATCTTATCGACAGTGCTCGTACACAGTATGAGAAGTACACAATTTGTATAGTATATGGACGTAACTCTTATCGTATCGTATCGTATGTATTCGTTATTTGCACCATTTGAATATACGGTTTCAATTGTGTATGCATAACATAACTTTAGTGGTCGCCATACTAATCTTTATTTATATGGGCCCAAATGTTCGTTTGATAGTAAATTTACATTCTGAGAAAACTTATTGAGCCCTAATTAAAGCCCAAATAATACCTTTACAGACCGGGGCCTATTTACTTTTTTTTTCTTTTTGGCATTTTTTTCTATTAAATGTCACCTTTTTTTATTTTATTTTTAATGATAAACAAAAGAAAAACTGTTTTGACTTTTGACACATTTTGGAGAAATCCCACCAAAAACACAACCTTAATTCCCCCACTTTATTCAATTCAACCACCACAGTATATTCAACATTTTAATTTCAAAGTACATGGTCAAACATAATTGCAACAACCACTTACATCAGTTTTTGGTCAATTCATCCTCTAATTTTCCATATCAAAACAAACTCCCACTAAGAAAATATTGGAAAATATATTTTAGGACCACAAAGTAAACGAAGCCCTCATTTTCATAAAGTCACAATCTTGCACAACAACTGAGGGACCTTCAAACATTAATGCAAAAAAATTGCCAATCTTAACCAAACAAATAATTGATACACTCTGCAAAAAATTGGTGCAAAACTGAATATAAAAAGAAAAGGAGGGGGGCCATGTTCTTGATTCCCCTCAAAACAAACAACATGAAATCAGACAGTCTCACTAAATTAAATACATAATATTAAAAATATTTGTCCAAATCAAGAATACAAATATGCTTTAAGTTTGCCATCAAAGGGCAAGCATATATGTATCATGTATGTATATATTTCATACAAACTTTACCATACCTATCAAATATCAATCAAACCAAAATATCCCATACCTCCCTAATAACTAACTATCTATTAATTCATCAAACACCCCCCACAAACATTCTATTTACAAATTAAGCTATTATTTTTCTTTTTTTTTCTTTTTTACCGAGTTTCTCAGGCCTATTCCCACTTACATTTGTTTCTACCAACTCTATAGATCTAATTCCCGGGAAGAAAAAAAAAAAAAAAAACTTACGTTTCTGGCTTTTGTTCCGATTCTAAGCTAAAATTAGTGCCTTCGTCGTCTAGAGATGGCGTATGAAGCTTGCATTTAGGACTCATCTTCTTCACTTCTTCACTCGAATATATGCATATTTTTCTAGCCATCTTGCAAAATTCCCTACAAAAAAAAAAGTATCATAATCGATCCAAGAAAATAAAATCGACCACAAAATAAAACCAAACAACTTACGGCCATGGATCATCGCCCACGAGCATCATATCTCCTTCATTATCAGTATAAACAACTTCCCATTTATTTCGAGGACTAAGCTCTCCCTTAATTCCAAACATATCCTCCAATTCATTAATAAGTTCGTTGTACCCCCCAAAAGCAGCCAAATCCACGCCTCGCCCAACAGCAATCCCTTGCATTTGTACCTAATAATCGAACATGTATAAAATAAAAATCCCTCTTTAGAAATATAAATATTTGAAAAAAAAATGCACGGGTACAAGTTTGTAAAATTTAACTTACCTTGATCCGAGTTCTTGAAGACGAACCAAAACCCAGCTTCCCCTTCATGTCATTCGGAGAATATTCCAACGGAACATTCAGTTGCTTTCTTTCTTTATTATTAGAGGAATTCAAGATTTCCACGTTTTTCGCCATGTCAGCTTCTTCAGACAATAAAGGCACCACCTTTTCCGATGAAGTGATTTTGTCTGAATTTTTGTTCCTCAAATCGAACCCGAATAACCGACAAGCCGGTGCAGGTGCCGTTTCTGAATTTTTTACCCCTTGACCTTGCTCGAGAAAACTACTCGCCCTCGTTGAAAGAGGTGATTTTACAAGCACGTTTTTATTTTCAACATGTGATAAAGGTGGCAAAAATCCACCAGGATACGATGTAGAATAGTAGAGGCCACTGCTTAGATCTTTCTGCTTCGCATGCCAGAAAATTTGTCCGTTTTCGTTATTTTGGACATCATTAGTTAAGTGGGCCCGCTCAACCGATGCGGTCGATTTCGAATACCAGAGAGGAGAAGCAGCAGAAGCTGTAGTAGTAGTAGTTCCTGCGTTGAATATATTTTTTGGTGTTAAATAGTGAATAAAGCATAATAGACATAACTATCGATTTTTTATTACAAAGATGTTGATTACCAGTACGAGGAAGATCGAGTGGTCGAGGTCTTTTGATCTTCATAGCTGATTGTGATGCATCTTCTGCAAAAGGTTCAATCTCCCAAGGTGACACTCTCTCTGGCCGAAATATATTTGCTGATTCTTCATCCCATTGGACCTGATTTTAAGACAATTGTGGAGAAAATTTATCGAGATTTTTTTTAAAATGCACATTTTTCCGTACAATAATAATATTTTTCGAAACTGTAAATTATTTACTTGAAGTGATCGCCAGGTGGAGCCGGTCCACTGAGAAGACAACTCTCCAACGCCAACAATAGTACCGGTGAACCTGAAAATAAAGATGTAAATATATCATATATTAATAACTGAATCAAAAAAAAAATTGATCGGAAAGATAAAAAAAAAAAAGGCGAACAAAAAACCTTCTCTCGGGGGAATCTTCTCCTTCAAATCGCATTTTGAAACGCTTACCGACAGAGAACTTTTGTTGCATGGCCTCTAAGTACTTATTCAGTCCAATAATGAATTGGCTTGTCCTGATCAAGTCATACAATATATAAGATAATAAAATGCTACGATTTTTTTTTGGCGAAGATGCAATGATTAAATTGAATTTAAAATACCGAGGCTTGTAGTAAACCACAAATCGGGTTTGTGTTGTAATAGCATGAGATGCTGTAGCAAGAACTCCCAAATGCATGCTTTGGCTAGAGATGACAGATGGCGGCATCGTGCTCTGTTGTCGAGCGAGCCGGCGGACCCCAACTCGCAATTCCCCATTATCATCATCCCTTTTTAATATTAAAAAATATTAATAAAAAAACATTTTTTTTTAGAAATTCAAGAAAGCAAAAAAAATTGAGTTAGAAAAAGTACCTCAAGAAAACAAAAGAATCGCCAGCTACTAGTCTCTTTGAGGTGACAAATGTACTCCATCCAGTTGTGAGCAAGTGTCTCCTTGGTTGACCTAATTAAAACCAATCGGAAGAGCCAATGAGACGAATACTAAAAGGGATTGATAAATAAAGAATTACGAAATCGCCATTTACCTCTGAATATGTGCTTGAATCGCCACTCGTACCCATGCAGATCTTTGGCTACCAAATCTTGGGTTGGTGTTTGTTGGCTCATATCCTTTGTGATCAAGAAAAGCACGTCAAATACGAGAGAGAGAGAGAGAGAGAGAGAGAGTTTATATATATGTACCAAGGGAGGGAGGCATTCATTGGCATGTTTGCGAAGAACGGAGAAGCCTCCATGAGTGCTGGTATCAGAAGCTGTTAAGATCTTGCAGAAAGAACGAACATTCGGCTTAGGTGGATCCGGGGGAGATGGATCAAGACTAGTGGGCTCCGTTTGCTACAACAATATACGCAATTGCAAATCAAGATTCACACATGTTGCATACACAATACATACAAAACAAAAAATACTCTGAATCATGAAATAGTTAACTGCTTACATCTGGTTCGGGGTGTAGAGTGATCTGCGCATAAACTTCGTCCGTTTCCTGCTCAGCCTGTTAGTCAACAAAAACCAAACTTTCAAAAAATATATCCGAAAAATCAGAGAAAAAAAAAAGGAACAATAAACGTCGACAATATATAGAAACAATACCCGTAGTTGAATGTCAACAATACGGCATAGAATCTTCGATGGAAGATTGAAGAGCGGGATTTGTTGGTCCAATTCTTGATTTGTCGATGCCTCCAACTGCAAAATTCAATAAACTCTTTTAATCAAAACTACTATTACGAAAAAAAAAACGGAAAATTCTCTAAAAGTAGAAGCTTTTTACTTGTTCCATATGACCCTGAGGAAAGTAATAAACTCTTTCTCTATTACAAGGACATCCACTAAAGGTCCGGCACACGCCTTCCATAGCTCTGCAATCGAAATCAATCAAATCA